AGCCAACGAGATTTCTCTTAAAGAGTCAGATTAAGATGATTTTCTTTAACAAAACATGTCAGGTAGTCCACGCGGGGCTGCCATCTTGAAAAGCATCGATCTGATCCAGTACTGATATACAGCCTGGACCAGTGCTGACGAACAGACATTACTGTATCAGCTATGACTACATCGGGACTGAAATAGATACTGGTCCAGGCCAGAGCAACAGCCTCGATTCAGCAGTGATGGCCGTCGATGCTGGACCGTTATAGAATCAAACCTGGTCCAGGCCTGATACCCATCATTCACGGATCATGCATGGTAACTCTTGGGTGTGTATAGATAGTAAAAATCTTTTAGTGTCTCCTTCTCTACTCCTGAAGAGTGAAGAGATGATTCAGTGTTGTGACTAGAATTAGATCCATGTGCTGATTTTTAATGGTTGACTTCCGGTCGATCTAGAGTCTAGAGTCACTTCCTACTCACTATGCTGGATATAAAAGTAGATCTAGCTCGCGAGAATTCTTCTCAGTCGGTCGGGTCTGTCAAATTCTTCGCACAGTTCTCTTCGTTTCATAGTCTCCAGTAAGCAGACTCTTTTACCATCCACTGTCAGGAACCATGGCTTCGCAAACACAAGTTCTACTTGAGAAGTACAAGATGTTGCTCATTGGTGAAACTGGATCTGGCAAAACATCTTTCCTGAATCTCCTCTGCAACTACGGGATCGTTCAAGAGTTGGGGATAGACGTTGGAGTCCAGCATTTTCACTCATTCAATGAGATAAAACTAGAAAATGCTATTTCCGATAAAATGCAGAGCAAGACCAGTGATGCACTGAAGTATACCGTATCACTGGGAGACACCAACCTTGAAATAATCGACACACCAGGCTTTGGTGATTCAAGACACACGTTACAAGAATCATTGATGCTCTTAAAAAAGAAGATTACGTCAATTGTGTTTGCCTTATCATCAATGGAAGATCCTCCCGTATGAGTGCTACACTTAGTTATGTACTAAGTGAGATAACGTCTATTCTTCCCAAGACAATACTCAATAATATCATTGTGGTATTCACTAATACCACTGGTTTGCTGCAACTGAGCTTTGACTTGGGAGCGCTGAAGCATTACTTTGGTCGAAACTTGGAGCACAGCTACTGCATTGAAAATCCGTATTGCCTTTTCGAGAAAGCTAACGAAAAGAAAGGTTTAATGTCCAAAGAGCTACTAGCTGAGAGCTTAAAAGACGAATTCGAGAGAACAGCGAAGACATTGAATAAACTCTTTGCTACAATGAAGTCCTTTGAGCTGGTCCAGACAAACGATTTCCTACGGCTTTATGAGAAAAAGGAGAAGATAGAGGTAACCATAGCAGAAGCTCTTAAAAAGTATGACACTCAATCAAAAATCACAGTTGAAATAGAAAAAAAAGAAAAAGAGATTGGTGCTGCCGTCAGTAAAAGTCAGTATAATCAAAAATATAAGGAGCGTCAAACTACAACTAACAGAGAATCAAGAGATACATCTTACCACAATACAATATGCACAGCAAGTAATTGCTTTTCAACCTGCCACGAGCACTGCGGTCTACCTCGAGTAGTTGAAACAAATAAATTCAAATATTGTGCATGTATGAATGGGGATTATTGCAGAGTGTGTGGCCATCATTATTCCTCACATCAGCATCTGTATGTTAAGTATATAGATGTGGAACACGTCTGGTGGAAAACTAATCCTGACATGGAGAGGAGGTTTCTTGAAGCAAAGAATGATGAAGAAAGGGCAACAATATTGAAGAAGGAGCTTCAAGAAAAGCATGATGCTATTATTAAAGAAAAAGAGAAGCTATTTGAAATACTTACTCAGGCAATCGAGGAGTTTCAAGCTTTGGGCATTAATCGTAGCTTCAAGAAAGTTTTAAAAAATCAAGTCTCTATCATTGAGCATCATTTGGAAGGGCAAGCCGATTTAGATCCTAACAGCAGCGGAGCTAAGAAGTTAGAAGAAAGTAGAAAAGAATTAAAGAAGAAGATCAAAATTATTAAGGAAGCTAAAAAGTAGCTTCCAATTATTACCAACTGTTGTGCAGTAGACTAACTAGCTAATTTAAATAATAGTTTAATTTGCAATGCATGCACTAACATTACATTATTCATTTGCTATTGTTAGTTATACATGTAGTTTGAGTATTATTCTCTTTATGAGTTGCAAAAGCTGCATTTGTTAAAGAACTAAACATTGTGTCATGAAAGAAGTCACTGATGCAACTTAGCTCTACACATTACATGCCTACCGTAATACATGTAGATGACAAAATTATAGTGTAAAGTTTATGGCTGTAAAAAACCTTAATATCAATGCACAGTATATCTCAGATACATGTAGCATAACAAGTACATGTCAATGAATCACTAATTGCTTATTCAAAAGTGTCTGGCCTAAAATAGTAAACTACATGTATTCATGTCTAATAACTCAGCTACCATTACAGTGAAATTGGTTTTTGTGCACACTACACACAAGCTATCACATTCTTCTATCAGCTCTTTGAAGATTTGATTCTTAAACTGTCATAATCAAAGCACAATATTACTTGATTACCTTTACTTTTCATACTTGGGAATTTGAACCTGTCCATACAAAATGATATGATGTGAAACCTGGAACAGTTATTAAAGTGGTGTGTTCATGTTTATAACATTCACACAGCACTTTAATACTGACACTAAGCTACAATGTAACTACAAGAACTGAACTCCTATTCCATCACTTTCAATATTGGCAAAGTAAAATTATCATTTCCATTGAAAAACAAACCAAATCTATGTAGTACACAAAATAACACAATCACCCAACAGTCTTAACAAGATCACAGCACAGGCACTGCACGCTTGATATGTATAGATCAGCTTGATGTATAATAATAAAATAGCATTAAAAAGTTCTCATCAAAATAGATGTATAACAAAATCATATAATCCACAATATTATAGATCTTAACGCTCAAACTTTAGTAAGCTAGATGAGTCTAAAATCAGTGAGCATGAGTATGTTAAATTTAACCTCAATATGCATACTCATAATTACTGATACATAAGGAGAACCAAGCGTGATGGGAAGTGTGAGGAATCTTATACATGGTGCAACTAAACAAGGGCTAATTGAAATATATACTGTACTTAGTATAAAGCTGACAGCATATTAATCATTTTAAAATTGTAATTCTGCTATAATGTACATGTACTATAAGGCAGCACTGGCTGATCATACACAATATATGTACAAGTACATGTACGAGACTGACCACAGACAGATGGGGTTGTTCCAAGTGGCACCAGCTTTGAGTATCGTCAGACAAGGTTATTGTAAGTGGTGCCAGTGGGTAAGGAGTGTCTCATTACAAAGGAATAGGCATAATCCCTACTATATACTATTCCAACAAAATATGTTATCAAGAAGCTGCCATAATCAAAGCACAATGTTACTTTAACACCTTCACTTTTCATACTTGGGAATTTAAACTAGTCCATACAAAATGATATGATGTGAAACCTGGAACAGTTATCAATGCTACACACAATAAGCTAGAATACAAATCACAACTACATGTGTACAGGTACATGTACGAGTACATAAAACCCATTTCTAGTTTTAAGTAATGTATGAACATGCACACACCACTTTAATACTGACACTAAGGTATAATGAAACTACATGAACTGAATTTCTATTCTATCACTCTCAACGTTGGCAAGGTAAAATTATCATTTCAATTGAAAAAGAAACCAAATCTAAGTAGTACACAGAATACAATCACCCAACAGTCTTAACAAGATCATAGCACAAGTACTGCACGCTTGTTATGTAAAGATCAGTTTGATGTATAATATTGACAAAAAGTTCCCATCAAATTGAAATTGATGCATAACAAAAAGCCTTTCATATAATCCACAACATTATAAGCCTTTACGTTCAAACTTGAGTAAGGTATAAGAGTCTACAATCAGTGTGCATGAGTGCGTTAATCAATAATTATTATAACCTCAACATGCATGCTCATAATTACTGATACATGTGATACATAAGGAGAACCAACATATTCTTTCTTATGGTGAAGACAATAAAGTTGTGATGAATCTTATACATGGTGAAACTAAAGAAGGACTAATTGTAATATTCACTGTGCTTAGCATAAAATTGACTACTTATTAATCAGTTTAAAATTGTAATTTGCTATAGTGTAATGTACTATAAGGTGGCTACTGGCTGATGATACACAGCTTGCATGAACGAGACTGACCACAGACAAATGGGGTTATTGCAAGTGGTGCCAGCTTTGAGTAAGGACTGCCTTGAAGGATAGGTTAATTCCCACCATGACATAGCTCATGGTTTATAAGAAACAGCTGCAACAAACACTTTCACTAATAATACTTGGAAGAATGCATATAGACTAGGTACTCCCATGCATACAATTACAATAGAGTATACTACATGGCTGCGATGGCACTCAATGACCTGTCAAACAGGAACCTATACATATGCGTACATGTAAAAGTGGGTGGGAAAAGGTGAGGCTATCCAGTGGTTAAACTTACACTGTGACCTCAACTGCAAGCAATATGGAGGCTGAAGCACCTATTAGTCATACAATCTTGCTCATTGGTGAAACTGGATCAGGCAAAACATCTTTCCTGAATCTCCTCTGCAGTCTGCAACTATGGGATCATTCAAGAGTTAGGTATAGATATAGGAATCCAGCACTTTCACTCATTTAATGAGGTAAAACTAGGAAATGATAATTCTGATAAAATGCAGAGCAAGACCAGTGATGCATTGAAGTATACCGTATCATTGGGGGACATCAACGTCGAAATAATTGACACACCAGGCCTTGGTGACTCAAAGGGAATAGAGCAAGATAAGAAACACGTTACAAAAATCATTGATACTCTTAAAAAAGAAGATTACGTCAATTGTGTTTGCCTTATCGTCAATGGAAGATCCTCCCGTATGAGTGCTACACTTAGTTATGTACTAAGTGAGATAACGTCTATTCTTCCCAAGACAATACTCAATAATATCATTGTGGTATTCACTAATACCACTGGTTTGCTGCAACTGAGCTTTGACTTGGGAGCGCTGAAGCATTACTTTGGTCAAAACTTGGAGCACAGCTACTACATTGAAAATCCGTACTGCCTTTTCGAGAAAGCTAACAAAAAGAAAGGTTTAATGTCCAAAGAGCTACTAGCTGAGAGCTTAAAGGACGAATTCGAGAGAACAGCAAAGACATTGAATAAACTCTTTGCTACAATGAAGTCCTTTGAGCTGGTCCAGACAAACAATTTCCTACAGCTTTATGAGAAAAAGGAGAAGATCGAGGTAACCGTAGCAGAAGCTCTTAAAAAGTATGACACTCAATTGGAAATCACAGCTGAAATAGAAAAAAAAGAAAAAGAGATTAGTGATGCTGTCAGCAAAAGTCAGTATAATGAAAAATATAAGGAACGTCAAACTTCAACTTGCAGAGAATCAATAAGCACATCTCACCACAATACAATATGCACAGCAAAAGAGTGCTTTTCAACCTGCCATGAACACTGCATTCTACCTCGAACAGTGGAAGCAATTAACTTCAAAAGTTGCATACGTATGAATGGGGATTATTGCACTGTATGTGGCCATCATTATTCCTCACATCAGCATCTGTATGTTAAGTATATAGATGTGGAACGCGTCTGGTGGACAATTAATGCTGACATGGAGAGGAGGTTTCTTGAAGCAAAAAATGACAAAGAAAGGGCAACATTATTGAAGAAGGAGCTTCAAGAAAAGCATGATGCTATTATTAAAGAAAAAGAGAAGTTATTTGAAATACTTAATCAGGCAATCAAGGAGTTTCAAGCTTTGGGCATTAATCATAGTTTTAAGAAAGTTTTAAAGAATCAAGTCTCTTTCATTGAGCATCATTTGGAAGGGCAAGCAGATTTAGATCCTAACAGCAGCGGAGCTAAGAGGTTAGAAGAAAGTAGAAAAGAATTAAAGAAGAAGATCGAAATTATTAAGGAGCTAAAAAGTAACTTCCAATTATTATCAACTATTGTGCAGTAGACTATCTAGCTAAATTAAATAATAATTAAATTTGCAATGCATGCACTAGCATTACATTATTAATTTGCTATTGTTAATTATTATGTTATATATGCAGACTCTAATTTGAGTACTATTCTCTTTATGAGTTGTAGATTATTTGTTTACTTTATTAAACAACTAAACATTGCATCAAGAAAGAAGTCACTGATGCAACCTAGCTATACACATTACATGCCTACTGTAATAGATGACAAAATCATAGTGTAAAGTTTATGGTTGTAAAAATTCCTTAGCATAAATACACAATATATTTCAGATACATGTAGCATAACAAGTATATGTACATGTATGTGAATCGCTAACTGTTTATTCAAAAAGCGTCTGGCCTAAATTAGTAAACTATATGAGTCTAATAACTCAGCTACCATTACAGTGACATTGGCTTTTGTGCACACTACACACAAGCTATCACATTCTTCTATCAGCTTTTTAAAGATTTGATTCTTAAATTGACATCATGTAGACCACATATGGAAGTACAACAACTCACAAGTGACAAGTAGTCAAGTACATGTTTGATTGCACTATATGTAGTTAGCAGAGAGTATAAGGGCTAGCACTATAACAAAACATCAATCTAAAACATTACTATGTCTTATATTTAGCAAGTGCAGCTTTGAAAGAATTGCTTTTCCTTTAATAATACGTATTGCATGTATAATATAGCTGTGTCATACACAAGAGGTCAGATGCTGGCAGGTCATACACTATAGACCATAGTCAGACAAGGTTATTGTAAGTGGCGCCAGTGGGTAAGGAGTGTCTCATGACAATGGGATGGGTATAATCCATACTACAATACCATAATACTATTCCACAAAATTATGGTTATCAAGAAACTGCCATAATCAAAGCACAATGCAACTTTAATACCATCACTTTTCATACTTGGGAAGTTAATCAGTCCATACAAAATGATATGATGTGAAACCTGGAACAGTTATGAATGTTACACACAATAAGCTATAGTACAAATTATAACTATATGTGTACAGGTACATGTATGCATGAGTACATAAAACCCATTTCTAGTTTTAAGTAATGTATAAACATGCACACAGCACTTTAATACTGACACCAAGGTATAATGCTGGTACCTTGGTGTCAGTATTAAAGTAGTGTGTGAATATTGTAACTACAAGAACTGAACTCGATCCTTTTCTATCACTTTCAATATTGGCATGGTAAAATTACAGTTTCAATTGAAAGAGTAAACCAAATTTATGTGTACACAAAACACAATCACCCAACAGTCTTAACAAGATCATAGCACAAGTACTGCATGCTTGTTATGTAAAGATCAGTTTGATGTATAACAATAAAATAGCATTGACAAAAAGTTCCCATCCAATTGAAATTGATGCATAACAAAAAGCCATGCCCAAGCCTGAGTAATCTATAAGAGTCTACAATCAGTGTACATAAGTATGTTAATCAATATAACCTCAACATGTACACTCATAATTACTGATAGATGTGATACATAAGGAGAACCAATATACTCTTTTACAGTCAAAACAGTAAAGGGAAGTGTGATGAATCTTATACATGGTGTAACTAAACAAGGGCTAATTCTAATACTCACTGTACTTAGTATAAAACTGGCTGCTTATTAATCAGTTTAAAATTGTAATTTGCTATGGTGTAATGTGCCATAAGGTGGTCACTGGCTAATAATACACAACATACATGTACATGTACATGTGCCAGACTGACCACAGACAGATGGGGTTATTGCAAGTGGCGCCAGCTTTGAGTAAGGACTGCCTTGAAGGATAGGTTAATTCCCACCATGATATAACTCATGGTTTATAAGAAACAGCTGCAACAAATACTTTCACTAACAATACTTGGAAGAATGAATATACATGTAGACTACATTGTACATGCATATACTACATGGCTGCGATGGCACTAAATAACCTGTCAAACAGGAAACTTATACACACAGTATAATATTATGTACATGTAACTCAACAAATAAAAAGGGTGTGAAAAGGTGAGGCTATCCAGTGGTTAAACTTACACTTTGACCTCAACTGCAAGCAATATGGAGACTGAAGCACCAATTAGTCATACAATCTTGCTCATTGGTGAAACTGGATCTGGCAAAACATCTTTCCTGAATCTCCTCTGTAACTACGGGATCGTTCAAGAGTTGGGGATAGATGTTGGAGTCCAGCATTTTCATCCATTCAATGAGATAAAACTAGAAAATGCTACTTCCGATAAAATGCAGAGCAAGACCAGTGATGCATTGAAGTATACTGTATCACTGGGAGACACCAACCTTGAAATAATTGACACACCAGGCCTTGGTGACTCAAGGGGAATAGAGCAAGACATAAATCGACTAGAAATGATAATACAGTGTCTTAAAAATGAAGAAAGCATCCATTGTGTGTGTCTGGTAATCAATGGAAGGGCTACACGTATAAGTGCCACTCTCAACTATGCACTGAGTGAGTTAACGTCTATTCTTCCAAAGTCAAGTATCAATAATATCACTGTAGTTTTCACCAATACCACTGGTGTGCTCAACCTTAGCTTTGAACTTGGAGCTATAAGTAATCATTTTGGCAGTGAAATACCGTATGGAAGGAAATTTTGGAGGTAGTTAAATTTGGCGAATTTGGCGTTTTGATAGCCATTCGCCAAAATAAACATTCGCCATTTTGAGCCATTATACGCATGCTCAATGGCACGTGGCCACAAATTCGCCAAATTAAAATTCGCCAATCACCAAAATTTAGCAATTCGCCAAAATTTAGTCCCTCCAAAATTTCCTTCTGTACGGTACAACACAGCTTTTGTATTGAAAACCCTTAGTGTCTCATAGAAAGAGCTAAAGACACAATGTCAAAAGAGCTACTCACAAAACTCTTGAGAGATGAATTTGAGAAGACAGCACCGACATTAAATGAATTCTTGAGACATGTAACAAGTTTAGACTTCATCCAAACAAAAGATTTCATGAGGTCATATGAAAAGAAGAAAGCAATTGAGGCAGAGCTGAGAGCAGTATACACAGTAACATGCAGTGATGAAAAAGAAAAGATAAAAGTGGAGCTACATAACTCGATTGAGGAGCTGAAAACACTAAGTATCTGTTCTAATTATAATACAATACTTAGAAATAGAGGAATACTTATAACACAACAACTAGAGGCAGAGGATAATGAGGAAACGATCAAGGAACTACAGACAAAACGAAAAGAGATTAAGGAACAACTTATTCAAATTCAGTCTAAGCATTGAATGTCACAATACAATTAACAATAAGTAGTTAACTAAAATAAGTATTTTATTATCATACAGTAGCTAGTTTCATTAGAATAAGTTGATTGAGTTGAACTGAAAGTAAATGTATTACCACACACTATAAAAACAGTACACAGTAATGTAAATTAATAAGAAATACAACTACACAGTCAATGCATACACACACACATACACATACACACACACACACTCACACACACACACACACACACACACTCACACACACACACACACACACACACAATTTGTCATTTTCCAATGTAACAGAATGCAGCCCAATGTTCTACCTTATAATTCTGTTCAATCAATGAAATCATACTTTTGCGTAATGAAGCAGGACCATCACGACTATTCTTATATTCTGTATAAAATGCATTCATTAGGAGGACAGTGGAAGTGTCTTGAATACGCCACAGTGTCACTATCATACTGCATGCTCCAGCAACCAACAGTGATCTAGAGAGTCCCAATATTCCATCACCAGTCACTTTACCTTTAGCAGTATTGCAGCAGCTCAATACAAATAACTCAGTGTTTAAACTCAGATCTTGGATTTCATTACTTGTCAGTACTCCACTACACAACGAATTGGATTTTGCTAATATGATCGCCCCCTTAACTGAATAATCACCATTTGAAGTACCTTGTGACTCAGATAAGTCATCAATAGAGTTCTCAAGTATAGCGTGTGTAGCTAAATGAATGATAGAGAATCGAGGAAGACACTCAATGACTCTCTCTTTAGTAGCTTCACTGCCACAAAGTAAACAACCATCGATAATGGACATAATTGACTTAGACTCTTTCTCTGCACCAGGTAACTGAGATATATCTTGTAAAGGCATTGTAGGATTACCAACTGAGAGAAGGCTCAATCCTGATCCTTTCTGCTCAGTCTTACGAGTCGTAGTAATCTGAAGCAGATATAACGATGGAGTGAATGAGATAATAAACTTTTCAACTAGATATTGTCCATTCTCGGGATTTTTAAGAGCACAGAATGGAACACCAAACAGACACCCATGAGGCACGACAATTAAACTTGGGACTGGAGTAGTAGAAGAGCCTTTACTCCCTTGCTTATGAAGAGAAGTGGGCTGGATTAAAAGCTCGTAAAGCTCTTCAAATTTATCTTTCAACTTTACAGCATTATTCACTGCTGCAGGGACAGCCAGTTTGGATTTCTTAGGAACAATATCTCTAGCTCCATTAGGTCCTACTGCATTTATCACTCCATCACTAGTAGCTCCCAGATCACGCATCAGTCCAGCAAAATACTCCTCATTGAAAACAGACGACTCGGTACTAATGTTACTGCACTGATTAAAAGGGACTTTGTTAAAATGACAAGGAACGGAGCTGGAGGGGTCAATGTGCCATATGTACAACAGTGTACCTCCTTTCAATGGATCCTCAACAATAGAATAGAGTAACAAGTGAGCCTCACCTAAAAATGCGCTAAGTGATGCTATCTCCATTGACACATGCTCAGAGAAAACATTGCCTTCCTTGTCAAACATGTCCAATATATTAGAAAGGAAAGGAGAGGCCTCATGCTTCCATTTCTTAGTCACTAGATCAGCCAGGGCTCTGGCTCTACTGTACTCTGCTACTAGTAATGCTGCTTCATGATGACCCTGAGTGATTAGAATAAACTGCAGTAAAGAGTATGTCTTGGATTGGTTCTTTTCAAAGTTTCCAATCTTTAAAAGATCGTCTTCGTTACTCAGTCTCCCTCTAACCTCTAGTCCAGTCTTAATAGCATGATAGGCACACTCTCTTGCTTTATCCATGTTTGCTTTGTTCTTTTCACCAGCAGTTTCTTTGTTATATATGAAAAGATGATCTAAAATAAGTTCATTCTGCATGATGGCAATGCCTCCTGTATCCAGTGTCTTCTCCGCTATTTCAAGATACAGTCTGTGATACTTTATTGCTTCTTCATGCTTCCCAACAGCTCTACAAGCTGATCCCATGTTCCCATAAGCAGTGCCCAGTCCAAGATTGTTTCCTAGTCTTTTAGCAATGTTACCAGACTCAGTAAATAGACTCATGCATAGCTCATGCTCTCCAAGACCCAAATACACCTTCCCAATGTTATTCAGAGACCACCTGTAACCTGCCGTGTCATCTAACGTTGTCTTACAGAATTGGAGTCGAGTGTAAAGGTAATTCAGAGCATTCGCATACTCTTCTTTCCCCATTGAATAGTACGTGAATCCAATATACCCACAGCACACAGCTACACTGTACACGTACCCATGATTGATACAATACTCTAGGAACCTCTTCTGGCGCTTCAGTGCTTTGCTGTGACACCCTGATGAGCGATAGACCCTACCCAATTCAGCTTTTCTCTCAGCCACCTTGTAAGCATCTCCCTCATCTTTTCCTAGTCTTATAGACTCCTTAAAGTGTAATTGAGCATTATGAAAATCAGCTATTGATCTGTATATATTGCCTAATGATTGATGGAGGGTTCCCCTTGTAGATATGCTTAAACCTTCACAAGTCACAAGAGGCTTCAGAGCCTCAAGAGCTTTATCATTCTGGCTGGTTGCATAAACACATAACTGCTGGTGTACAAATGTCAACTGGTACTTGTCATTGCATTCCTCTTTTGGACAGATTTGCTGAGCTTTCTCATAGCAACCAGCAGCAATTTCAATATCACCAATAAGACGGTGTGTGTGGCCAAGCAATAGATGGGCACTGTATTGCATACCTGCAAAGAGCAAAGGGAGTATCATATAGGGTTCTAATTAACGCCCACCACCAGAATGTACATAAAAGCAAATTTCATATTACAAAGTGTAAAGCTTATAATGCAAAGCAAGGCATTACCTTATCTTTAATGATTTAAAAAGCACATTAAACGGATGTACTATAATCTACATGCATACTTCAAAATTAAAAAGAGCTACATACATTTATGATATAGATAATGTACAGGCATGATTTGAGCCATTATGGTTAATAGCAAATAAGCAATCTTATAATCATCATACATTGTAAAATCTAACATTGACAATTTTATAGCAATGTATAGTACATCATATACATGTACAATCAATGTACATGTACATGTAACTACAGCAAGAGGAAAAAAAACTTAAAAGAAATACATCACTACAGTGTGTCCTAAGCTACATGTATCATTACTCACCAGTTGATAAATCCTTTTTCAATAGAAACTTTAACTTTTCAATGACGTCAGAGAAAGAACCAATCGAGAACAAAACATCACATAACTCGTACAAAAGAACCAATTCCTATGTATTGTTAATGGAATATAGACATACTTTATATCAAACACATGTGCATGTACATACATGAGATGCCTACTGAAGGTGGATTCTCAATATGACGCATGTGCGTCCGTCATGTCTGGAAGTGCTGTATAAACCAATGGGAACATGCGTCAATGCTTCAGATTAGAAAACATTTCTATTCTGATGCATTGACGCATACTCCCATTGATTTATACAGCACTTCCGGTCATGACGCTAGCGCATGAAAAGCAATGCGTCATATTGAGAATCCACCTTAAGTGAATTTATGTGTACATGTATCAACAAAGCTTAAGTTTATGACAAACATGTACATGTCCATGTACATGTAAATATAATAGCGTGTGAAACTATTGCAAGGAGGGAGCATACTTTGGATGGTGAACTGGAATAAATTTGAGGAAATTCTTTTAACAGATGTTCACAATAATGTTTAGCAGCAAACATGTTAAGAGCTTTTAGTTCGTTGATTTTCTTCAAAACATCATTAAAATCTACAAAAAGAAAATCAAAAGAGATTAAATAGATCACTCTAGGCATGAATTAGAAAAGATATGAATATCATTAATTTTATACATGGTATACGCCCACACACCATAATTGGCTGCAGTTTTGGTTGGCAAGTTTGTTAAGGAAGTCAATGGAGGCACGAAGAAAATGCCTCACTTACCTACTGTAGCTCTATCGATAGCTGAAAAGCCCTTGTTATAAGAAAGAGCAACTACTTTTAAGCTTCTCCTGTAAAAAATTTGCTTCAGAATTATTAATACAGGTTTGTTTTTATGTCGGCCCATTTGTTCTCCATTAAAATTTGCCAACCAAAATGGTGGCCGGAATTTATTTCATGCTAAACCATGCCTTATAAACGTAAAAATTTCCCTATGCAATCAGTTCTCACCTAGGGTTGTTTGGAAAAGCATATACGTGTAAATTGCTCAAAAAGATCTTTGCCCAGTGAAATATGCACATTAATAACGGCATTGTAATTTAGAATGCAGTGTTAAGTTCCATACTATGAACTAGGAAAGCTAAGTTTTACTAATTTAGACTAAAAATCATTAATTATTGATACCAGATTCATTCAGAGTGACATTTGTAGCCATTTCTTGTCCCTGGGAATATATCTTATCCAATTGATCCCATATCTCTTTAAGATGAAGATCACAAACATTTTGATGAGCGACAGAAAGATACTTCATCTCATCTTCTTTGAGCAGTGGCTCTTTCATTGGCTCATTGACCTTGTGAGACGCCATTTTATCTAAGTAGGTGTGGTAATAGGTTTTGGGCGTGGCTCGCCTCTTGTTTTTTATTTTGGTTCTGCTCCAGTGCTCCTCTGCTACTTTCGAATCTGTTCTTTCTTAAATCTAGAGCTGTTCTAAGAGGTGCATAGACTCGTCATGGCTGTTGCAGGTAATAGTAAAGTTTTATAAATTTTATACATAATATTATTGGTGTCCTTATGCCAAGCGTTTTCGAGTAATGGCCACTAAAACATACCGATAATATTTTTCCCTTTTCTGAACATGAAATCAGCATGGGCGTAGATCTATGCTTTCCGAAGAGTGGCTAGGATATAACACCTTTTATTTATATTAAAGTATCTGTATGTACATGTACTTTTTGCTTCATTATGTGTGATCTCCACCTAATTAACAGTTTTTATTTGTCTAGAGCCTAACAAAGAGTTAACTACAAGTAATGTGATACGATTACTACGTAAGACAGAGTTTAGGTTCTCTAAGAATTGGAGAGGGGTTGCCCGTGAGTTAGGAGTATCACTAGAGAAGAGGTCACAGCAGGATTCTCGTCTACAGCTACACTCAAATATTGAAGCAGGTAGGTAATAAATTCTGTCTAATATTTAGCTTAGTCTTGCCCCGCCCCTTCGCTTTAGTAAAGCTCGAGGGTGAGACTAACTGTTGCTTGTTTTGCTGCACACATCATTACAATCAATTTTATATGTAAGTGAAAGTGCAGATGTCAAAATATTTTCCCATGATAATAAGTACATTTGTGAAACAATATTAAATTCACATCAATACATGGTCTATCATTTTAACTGTGCTCATGTCTAATGGCTACCAATTGTTAATATATATTTGCCAATTGAAGAAATTTTCGATTCAATTTTCTGCTTGCATTTAATTTGATTATTGAACCTTATAATGTAAATTTTCACTGCTTCATGTATTAATGACAGTCACCCATTTCTGAGCCTATGAATTAGTGATTGAGTGTACACATTAGTTTTGACAACATGGTTTTTGTATGCATGGTTTGTTTTGAACAGTTTCTTAATAAAATTTGAAAATGTCTTTATGCTCATGCATCATTAGCTGACAAACAGTACGTAATCCTTGACTTTTGGAGCAACTTTAAAAAGTCATAAATCATCTAATTTTGATTGGAATCATTCTACACAGCATAAGAATGTGTATGTGTATCAGAAAAAAATTAAATTGAAGAATTCTCTAGGAACCATTTTTGACAAAATACCCGGCCTGTACTATTAGTAATGCGGTAGCATTACTAAGTAAGATTCATCCCAAAACAATATGTCTGCCACGACTTTTGCAGCCTTGCTATACCAGGAAAACGAGCTCCTATGCTCACCAGTCTTTTTAAAGGACAATATTTTGGCCAGAAGACTACATTGGTATGACTAGCGTGGCTCTAAACCTGGTTTAAGAGGAATGTGAAAAATTGGCAAAACGGCCGTTTTGTTCAGCCACCTTTTTTAATCCATGATTTTTGGCCAAATTTCGAACAACTTTAATTTTGATCAACTCAAACTTTCAGCCATATTTGGAACAACATTAATTTTGATCAGCTCAAACTTTCTAAGAGCATGTATTGGAAAAAATATAAATATTGATAGATCTCTTGGAGTCATTTGGCAGAAAATACACTTTACATGCTATCAAGAATGGATAGTAATTATCTACTCTTGATACTATCATGGATATACTATAATAGTTGGAGGGTGATTATTAAGTAATAATTATAAGTAATGTTTTCTTTAATCTACAGAAACTGATTTCTTAGAGGAAGCTATTGATGACTGGATAAGGAATTCTGATGATCCTTCATGGACACAACTCATTTCTGTAATTTCGCAGTTTGACAAAAAGACAGCCAGAGAACTAAGAATATACATTGGCATACCTCATGGTTAGTGAACAGTTACTGCAACCCTTCTACTTATACATGTACTGTATCTACATGCTTGCTTCGTTACACATGCACAAATTATGATACACAAGCATTTTAATTATTAATAATTACTATTATAATTATTAATTATGATCCTGTGGTCTTATCCTGTTTACATTATGTTTTGACCTTTGTATCATGTTACAACTGATTATATCCACTGGTACTTTCCCTTTGTAGTGAGTCACTGGTCATCAGTTGATGATGATAGTGGGGAGTGTTGCACTGAAACTGAAGAGAGTATGTCAATTTAGATTAAGAGTATACAGTAATTTAGAATTGTTCTATTGTCATTATGTTGCATGTGTGAAGATTTAGGATTGTTCTATTTTCATTATGTTGCATGTGTGAAGGAGTGTTTTTTACATTTATGAGTGAGAAATCCATTATCTATTAGTACTATTACTTTATTCTCAGTTTATATGAATGTGAATGCTTTGTGAGATTGATAATGATTGTGAACCAATTTTTTGTTTTATAGAATTATCAAATCTACTCAAAAGTATGACAATAGAGGAGCCACAGCAGATAGGAATCACTTGTAAAGTTTTCAATGCAGACACCAACAACCTCATCGAGTCTAGTAAAGCTCCTGTGACAAGAGACATTACGATCAGACGACGCGTCCAAGAGTTTTCATCACAAACTGTTAGGGTTGGGACTAGCATTCGACTTGAGATCACTACTGACTCTAATTGCTATCTTTACATTCTCAATATTGGTACGTCAGGGAAAACAACACTACTATTACCTAATGAATATGAAACTAACAACTACTTCAATGCTTGGCAGTCTTATAATCTTCCTGGAGAGGACTGTGGTTTTGAAATTGATGGTCCATCAGGTAAAGAGACTATCCAGGTGCTAGCCTTCTCGTCAAGACAGCCTGTATTAGATAAGCTGGTGTGTGCTGCTAGTGTTCAAGAGATGACACTATACAGAGATATTGTGATGAAAAGAAAAGCCCAAGCTGTCGAACAGAAAGGATACGCATTTGTACAATTTGACGTTCAGAAGTGATTATCAATAATCATTGTCATTTATTTTATTTTTAGAATTTTCATTTATTTTAGTGGCATGTAACATTTTTGATTTGCATTCTAAAATTAAGTTATAATAACTTTGCAGCAAATAATAATTATTATTATTAAGTTAAAACACCTTTAATGTTTAATTATGTATCACTCACAAAACAGTTGTTTTTTCTTTTTGTTCATCATCCTCCACATGCACTTTCACTTCAACTGGAATGTCCACTGATAATTCAGCTTTTTTGTTCTGTTCTGGCTTCTTTTTATCTACTGAAAGGTGACCAGATCTAGACATCAGTGTATTAATTTTTATAGTGGATCTACTCGTAGTATCATTCTTATACGTGTGCAAGTTGTGACTGTTACTTCTTTTACATAGGCGAAGAATCCAATACCTCCAAGAGCTACGAACTTCTTTTGATCGAATACATTGCATGACAAAAATAAAGAAACCATGGAAAGCTGTGATGAAAATAAAAAGACCAGCAATCATGTCATGTATTTCTTGACTGCTGTGGATATCCTGAGTGGCTAGAAGGCCTATGCCCCAGCCTAGACCAAATAATAAAAGCAGTACAATAGATATTCCAAACTGTATTTTAAAAAACTTAGACATTTTCTGCTGCTTTGAATTCTTTGAAGTAGTTGATACTTTGCGATAAACGAAAGAGCATACAATTACTAGAAACACTATCCAGTTAAATGTGTAAATTATTAAAAAAGGAGCAATCATTCCAATGTAAAATAAGAATCCAAAGGCACAACAACTGTAAAGATAAAAATATTATTATTACTATAATACAATGTCATAAATAATTGTGGCTTACAAGTGATTGCTGTAGTAGTTGCCATAATTTGGAGCAAAGGAGAAAACGACAATGAAAATTGGCACAACTATAATTTTTATATGCAGCAATCTAATACATAAAAATTACAACATACTCACTCCATGACACAATCATTGCTTTCAGTGTAAAGTGAGCAATCTTTTTACCCAAAATAACAACAAGGTTGAAGTACAAGTTTACAGCCTCTGAAGCCATGAGCATGAAGGCTACAAGAAAGAAATACTGCAGCATTGCTGCAACAATTACACACACAATGAAGGTACGGCTACTATGCTGTGCAATAAGGAATGTAGTGTAGAGACCCATCAAAGCACAGCACAAACCAATGAGTAATTGGCCATGATTGGAAGCCCTTAGTTTCCTATCAAGAATAATGTGTAAAAGTATACTTTAAATTCATTCTTGTACTTATTTGTTGCATAAGAGATGACAGTGATGATAAGGCAAAGCAAAGAGACTACTATTCCTATGTAAGAAAAAGAATCCAAGGAAAGTGATAGATCCGTTCTAGTTGTTGGCTCAATACTTGGTGATGCATCCTATAAAATAATGAAAGATGGCATAATTACTAAATATTGTGATACCAGCAATATCGCAAAATTTGTTAAATGATTACACTTGCAGGTTACAGTCTCATCGTTAACTGTTGTAGTACAGCCTTCCTTTGACCATTCTCCATACCCATCTAAGCAAAGTACATTAAAAACTATATGCATGCATTACATTCACCATCTAACGATTGATTCCAAAATTGACACTGAAGTGGAGATCCATTCTATAAAAAATTAATGTAGTAATTTAAAGCATACATAGATTTAGTGCTTACATTGTTTGAAAATACTTGAAAATCCAATTGAACCGGATATGTTAGTCTCTGTACAACACCAATTCCAATAACAGTTGTTGATATAATGATGCTAGTTACTTCAAGACTATTTGTTTGACGTCTTATAAATAATGAATCGGACAAAAATGCAGCATTTGCAATTCTCAATGTAGCATTATTATAGGCAACAAGGTCAAATAAGCTCTCAGGTAGATAAATAGAGCCAACAGATGACTGATATTTAGTTTCAGTGAAAAATAATTCTGAAGAATTTCTCTGAGTTACACTAAAATTTTGACCATACATTTTAAGCTCATCAATGCCGATTTGCTGAACAGATACAGCAAATGTCCTTTGTGCTATACTTATTGGCTCTGATATATTAGTAATGGGAAGCGTTTGAACAACTACTTCCAATGCTTCCAAGATCCTGGTATAAGTTAGCAATAAATACAGGATATCTATTTGCATTACTGACTTTCCAGTTGAGTTAAAAATTATTTGGCTTTCCTCCAATGTGCCTCTGTCAACAAGCGATAGACTATCAACAACGTCCAAAAACAAAACAGACAACTGTCAAAGTAATAAACATACACTATCACATGATAACAACAACAAAATGCTCTCACTGAAAGGTTTCCTGATACAGTGTTTGTAGTAGACACCAATACAATAGCACTAGCAGTGACTTCATTAGTGTTTAGTTTACTGATATTACTAGTTGCAACTTTTAAATCTTCCACCCTCTCTTCACTAGGAAGCTATACAATTGAATAATATAGTGACATTACTTATTGACTTACACTTAAAAGATTACAAATACTTCTAGTCAAATCACTAAAATTACACTGTGTCACATTAGGTTCATTCCAAACACCTCCATATGTAAAGTCACCACCACAGTATCGACTAGCTTGAATTTCATGTCCTCCAATGGAAGAATTATTACTGCCACAAGGACAGTCCATTACAGCATTTATTCCAATATTAGTTTCTGGCCAAATAATAGTTATATCAAGGTTTTTGTCACCGGATATAGATGGTATAATTGTTACTGTAGAGGGACAACCATCTATTAGAGGAAAATTACAAAATACTTGATATAATGTACTGACCAAATCTTTCTACTCTATTGACAGATATGTTGTTGTATATATGAGCATTCCATAAAGACATGTAGTGATTAATTTCTGCCATATGCTTTTCAGTGTCTTGAGTAATTTCCGTAAGTAACGTCACAATAATTTCCATTGATTCATTCACGTAACTGTTAACATGGAATTTGTTACATAAACTAGTATAGGTTTTATTGACTTACTTATAAGGGCTTAAAGCAACAATAAGTATAAAAAATGAAATTGAAGTATTACTTCCGGCAAGATAATAATTAGCCTAAAAGTATCAGACATAACAATAATACTCATGAGCCTTACATTCTCAATGAAGTGAATTTTGCTGGTTGGTTCATTCTGGATGCTTGAAAATTGAATGATTATCTTATATTGTAAAATATCTGTTTTAATGATCAAACTAATTTTAATATTCTATGACATTTTACCAGTTATATTAAGCAAAACCATTGAAGAATTGACAGAGTTTTTGATGCCATTAATGACACTAGTCGCTTCACAATGATAGAATCCTCTGTCATTAAGATCCAATTCATTAATACTTAGAAGTGAAGGGTCAGAATTGTTGTTAATCACTGATCTATTGTCCTTGTACCACTGTACAGATGGGTTAGGTGATCCAATTGCCTCACAAATTAGCCTGGCTAAAGTGTATAATTTACCAGAAGTGATCTTAAGCACTTGTTTTATTTGAGGTGGAATAAAAACTATAACTTCTAAAAAAAATATCACTGACAAGTACTACAATAATCACTTAATATATGTGCACCTTGATCACAGTTCCTTCCAGTATATCCTTCCAAGCATTTACAGTAATAGAAATCAGAGAGACTATAACACTGTTTATGATATTGACAAGGTGAACTACTGCAGTAATCAACTGGCAAAGCTACACACAAAAGAAAGTAAAAATAACATCAGACAAATTTAATACCTTCAATAACTTGTAAACTGTATGGTAAAGCTGAAGTATCTCCAATTTGTGCTTCATTATCTGCACGGCAGGAATAATTACCATTGTCATTCTCATTAAGATCAGTAATAGTGAGTGTGCTTGTAATCTGCATCACCCCAGGAATGATACTTGAGCGAAATCCTTCAGATATTCCTGATGATTGCATCTTTCTTCTTGCATTACTAGTGATCAATTGCCCATTTCTTCTCCATGTAATCAAAGGTACTGAAATACCATCAGCCGTACAGTTAAAAGATATAAATTCTCCTTTCCCTTTGACAATTAGACTGCCATCATGAACAATTTCTAACAATTTAGCTTTCACTATAAAATTTACAATGAAATTTATAACTCAAGATAGTGTCTAACCAATGACATGAAGCAGTGTAGTGGATTCTACAGTACCAGCTTCATTAGTGACTGATATCTTATAAATTCCACTGTTTTCTAGTTCAACCCTTTCTATCAATAATGATAATCTATCTTCAGAAAGTGCATTTGCTTTAATAGGAATGAATGTGTCATTTCTGTGTCCCATAAAAGACCAATTGATTTGACGGGGTTCTATTAGTGGAAATCCACCAGTGATAGTAAAGCTAATGATTGCACTATCATTTAATAAAACATCCAGTTTTCCATTAAAAGAATCTGATTGTACTGACACTGGAACTGTGATATAAAAAAACATCAGCACATGAATGAATTTAGATGTATTTTGTTTAACTTTACCAGTAGGAGCAGGTGTCATTGTTAGAAGTTTTGAATTAGTTGTGGCTGTTGTGCTAAATTTAGTCACTACAGAATCTGAAACAATATTTAATGATTCACTTATCACAGAGAATGAAAACACAGAAGTTGATGATTGATCTGTAGGCATGCTAGAACTATCAACTATAAAAACAAGATAATAGTAAATGGGAGGTGATTTTGAAATCAATTTCTGGAAAAACCATGGGCTTTAGTACAAGGTATTTCAAAAATGCTCATAATTTGAAAATTTTCATGCTTTCTGCAAAGCATTAGGACATCAATATGATATAATAATAACATTGGGGTACTTTGTGGCTAATTTTTGGAAAAAAACTATAGGCAGTATTTTTGAATTTTGGCATTATAAAAAAGCTCATATCTCCAAAAAATTAAGTCAGAATCAGCTCAAACTTTCTACATAGCAAAAGGAAATCAATTATGTATCACAAAATATGATAAAATTACAAATTTTAGGGCCAATATTTGAAAAACCATGGGCCACAAGTTATTTTTGGATTTTGGCATATTTTAAAATTGCTCGTAACTTAAACTTTTAACATACATGTGACATAATGTGTCAAAAAATTATAATAATGTTTAGGAGAGATTTCAGAGCCATATTTTGAAAATCCATGGGCTATTATAATGCAGGTGATTTTGGCATAATTAAAAAATACCCATAACTCAAAAAAATTAAGTCAGAATCAGCTCAAACTTTCTACATAGCATAAGGACATCAATATGTATCAGAAAATATACTAAAATATGGTACAATTTTGGAGCCAATTTTGAAAAAAAACCATAGGCTACAGATCTAGGAGGGAGTATTTTCTGGATTTTGGCATAATTTCTTAAAATCAAAATAATAAGCTTAGCTTAAATTTGTACTCAAATCTGCTCAATAGTTACACTGGTATTTTTCATAGCACTTGAATTTCATTTTGAAAATTTTGCATAGCAAAGACTGTGGCTATTGCTATCACATAGTGGAATGAAGTATAAAAAAGGAAGCAAATGAGGAAAACAACCACAGTCATTTTGATGCTCATAACTCAAAATTTGTGTGACTGGAATTTGTCATAGCAAAATAGCTATCATTATAGTTACACAAAAGAATTCACAATAACAGATTTAATATTACCATTAAAAAATGAAGTAGATTTAATTATTGGAAGTTGGGACTGAACTGCTAATGACTCATTAATTACTAAAAAATGAAACAATTATCAAGCGATAGACAAAACTAAACGTTAAAATTATAAAATTAGCTCACTTGAAATCGGCATGCTCTGAGATGGTGTAACAAACATCGTTTGTGTATACTCAGAAGATCCTAATACACTTGTTAATCCTTTTAACAAAATATTCCATAAGTTAAAATGAACTGCTCAAAGTAACTAACCATTGAAAAGCACTGAGAAATTACCAATTTCACTATAGTTTATTCCAACAGTATTTTCTGACACAATTTGAAAATAGTACTCTTGACTTAAAACTAATCCACCAATTGTAACATTGTATGGAATGTTATTTGCTGTAAGAAAGTAATCACTACTTGTGCCAATGGTACTACTACTCATTGTCAGGTTATCAGGTGAGAACCCATATAAAACAGTGTAATTTTCCAGTGAATAGGTAACTTCAGGAATATTCCAGAATATTGTCACGGTGTTTAATTGTACAATTATGTTGTTAATTACAGGTCTAACTGGTAAGGATTCACCTAATTCAAGAAAAATAGTTATAAATAAAATTATTTCAAAACCTTTTACAGTGATGTTGATTGAACCAGACATTCCAACTGTATTGATGCTTCCATTGACAGTAATATTAGCAATGCAATGCAATTGATAATTTCCTTTTCCCAAACCAGTTAAAGTCATCATACTCACATTATCATTATTAGTTACAATGACACTAGTAAAGTTTTCGGAGCTAAGAATAGGCCATGAAAATGATACATTGTATGTAGTAGGGGTAGGAGTAATAGCAACTGAACAGTTAACTATGAGTCTATCATAAGGTGCAGTAAAATCCAATAAAGTTTGTGTTGATGATAAAATACTTATATCTATAACAAACTATTATAAAAACTATTGACACTTTTGAACTTACTTGTAACATAAAGAACACCAACCCCAATCCCTGGTGGTGAAGTCAGTATATAGGGACTGTAATGACTTAATTGTGCAATACATGCATATCCTCCTCCATAAGAATCTATCACATCATCAATAATGAAACGAAGAGTTACAATATCATTAAAAAGCTGCAGCCCAGCAAAATGGGTACCCGTTGATGGAGATAACTGATGATTAACTGAAAGACCTGTGATACTATCAACAAAGTATGGTATTTCAAAAGCACAGTGAAATTCGGCTGAGCTTCCTGTTACTGTTATTATTGAAGGCAATGAAATTGATAGCTGTGGAACTAAAAAAATTAATTGTAAATTTTTAATTGATAGTATTTCATCATTTACTTTGGACATAAAGTATTGCTGCGCTGGTATTGACAGTGCTGTTAATGACTGGAGATGCTTCTCCTTGGTATAAGATCCTAGCAGTACAGATATAGATACCAGCATAGCTTGTAAAAGGGTTGATAAAGAAATTAAATGTGTGGCTAGATTTTTTCACAGGAGCAGTTGCATTTGAGTTTGCTGATAAGTATGAATACTCAATAACTGTGTCAGTACTGTAGCTGTTAAAGTTAGGAAGACTGACAACACATGATATATTAGTAGATATTCCAGCAGTGGCAATGTTACCATAAGCTGTTACAATAGGAGTTGGAACTGAAAAAGAAAAGCAAAAGTAATGAAAATGGGAAATATTATGATTACTTACTTGTAACTGTAAGTATGGATAATGCAGAACTAGGTGGAACTTGTACCAAAACATAAGGGCTTGAATGGCTGGCACTGGTATTACATGAATATGTACCAGCATCACTAAGAGTCACCGAATTCAAGAAAAATACAGACATTGCACTACCATTAGGATGAAACCAATTGAACGTTAAGTCTGTAGTGGTAAGACCAGGTGGAGGCATTGCAGTACAGGTAAACTCAAAATGATTTCCAGCAACAGCACTTGAAGTAGTGTCCACATTAACAACAATATTACCTGTAACTAATTTATTAACAATTAATAAGAATAATATATGTGCATTATATGACAAACCAGTAAGAAATAAGTATCCAACTGAAGAAACTGAAACAGAGTCAAGAACATATGTAGACTCAGTATCAGTTCCATTATAAGAAGCAGTCACATTGCATGTATACTGACCAACACTTGAAGTATTTGTAACAATAGTAAGCATGTTTTCATAACTATTTAGAGGCAACCACGAGTATGAATATAACACAGGAATATCAGGAGCAATACTTGCTGTACAATGCAAAGAAGACTCGTTATTGAAAGAAGTAGTTGCATTAGTTACCACAACAACAGGAGCCGGCACTATAAACAAAAAACGGTGCAATAAAATTTTTGTAAATCTCAAAACAATAATTTGTAAACTCAAGCATCAGCCTATAGTTTCCATAATGCTGTTTACTTACTAACCTCTTACTGCCACAACAAGTGTCAACATGCTACTAGGTCCAGAATCAAAAGAAACAATACAAGAGTAATTACCAGCATGAGCTACACTGACTGTTCCATTGCTAGAAATGACATTTGACACAATGCTGGAATTAACAAAAGGGTATGATGACTGATTAGATATCAAAAACAAATTCATTGCACCAAGTGGCTCTCCTTTCAATAACCAATCAATAGTCAAGTTATTAGGACAGGTTGATGAGCAATAGAGACCAATACTGCATGTTAAAGTGAATACTTTACTGGATCCAATAACTGGTGGAGTATAAACATCTAATGGAAAATTAACTGCTCATTAGCTATTTATATACAAAATCAGCTGACTTTCTCCATATGCAGTTAATGAAAGGCTTGAAAGCAACAGAGCCAAATAAGCTGCCACCATCTTCAAACAGATACTTAGATTTTCAAAACATTCATTGTGAATGTTCAAGCTGTACACCCCCAAGTGGGTGTAGCTGTAGATCTAAATTCTGTGGGCGCAGAGATCATTAGTTACTTTTACAAAATTTTATGAGTAAAATCAGGAAATAGCAATGAAAGGAATCAACTACAGTAAAGATATTATACTACATACTACAGTAATAAACAAACTACAGTTATAAACAAAATAACAATGCCAGAACTAACTAAATTACAGGCTAATAGCTTTTAAGTTTTTTTATGGAATCCTCAAAATCAGCTAAAAATTTCCAGCAATCTGTAACTTGACTCAATAACACTTTGTGAGGAAAAATTTTATTCAAATCTGAAATTATCTTTGACTTAGTTTGCTTGAGAAAATCTTCAAAGATTTGGTGCAATCTAAAAATTCAAAATATAGAATGATTATTAAATTAAGGTACACTACGTAAAATTGATTTGATTTAAGTCAAAAAAATAATTTCTAATGCTCACTACATTGCTGCAATTACTAGTACATAAAAACAGGAACAAATGTATATACATTAGAGTAAATTTTGATTGCAGGTACTATATTTTGTGATTTTAGCAGGTAGTAGATTTTTCTGGCATCAAAAATTGCAATAAGTAACTATTACTAGTAGTTCTATCATATCATTAATGATTGCATGTATTAGTAATTGCAATTTTAATCTATTTACAATTAATAGTACCTGTATTTAAAAGAATTCTTAAGGTAATACAAATATCACACTAGCATATCATAAACTAGATCAGACCTGGGGTCAAAATACAATTATAACTGTAATCAGAGGCTCAATTACAATTTGCAATTGTAATTGTAATTGAGGCTTAAGAATGTAATTTGGAATTTTTATCAAAATTGAGTCATCGTACTGACAGTAGCAGACTTAATACAAACACAGGGAAAATAAAGCATTATGACAGAGCCAAAGCCATGTGTCCCTACAAACATAATTATTGGCCTCGCCCAGCTTTGCGTAGGCGAGGACTAGGTACTCGGTTTGTCTGTCTGTCATTCATTCATTCTGTGTGCTATATTTTGTCTTTGAGAATGTATATCTTTACAATCGCGTGCTCTAAATCTGTGAAAGCTTCTCTTCTGTTAGGAAAAGTCTTGCTTTACTGCTTCGAGATGTTTAGAGAGCAGCTCTAGCTAGTAGAAGCTTTTTAACTCACGAGAAAATGCCCAGCAATAGCGGTAGTACTCTGGAGGTAAATGAGACTCTTTTCCAGTAGATCAAGACTAGTTATTGTTTTAATATGTGTGGGACTCTTTAAATCTTTCTTGTTGGTGAGTTATAGCTTCTTGAATTTCAACCCAATGAACTGTAGGTAGTCTAAAGGTCCTAAACTCTCTCAAATCACTCAATTTACATCTAGGCAACAGTATTTGTGCCATTATAATGTCATATAGCGCTTATAAGAAGAGAAAAATCTGAAACTTGCTCGGTTCTTGTTGCAGGGCTTGCTGCCATCAAATAAGTAATAGTTGATGATGTCATGCCACACCTCCAATTTGGGAGTAGCTGGAGTACGCTGCTACTTCTGCAGGCATGCAGTCTGGTTTGTTTTTAGGATGCGTATCTTTGATAGAGACCACATCAAAAGCTGAGACCACATCAAAAGCTGTGGTTTTGCAACCCATGATGCTATTTTTAAAATAAGAGTGTATAAATAGTTGATAAAATCCAAGTGTTAGTTGGAATTTATGAACACATCAAAAATTTTTGGAGGGACTCCAGAGTCCCATCATGCTTTTCACACTTGCCCAGAGTGTCACTTTTGAACTAAATGTACAGGTGTACTTGCAGGTCAGCTAAGCCTAACACTTCCCAATCAACTATAGGGGCGAGGCCACGCACCTTTGGTGTCTCGTGTACACATGTAGATGGAAGTGTGACAGTTAAGGTTTCCAAGTATAGTGCTCAGCTTCTTGCCAGCTCATGAGGTGTGCTGTTTAGAATACCAGTAAAGTTTTGTAGAAATCCTGATCCATAGTATTTTGTCAAAAATGGCCAGGAGAGAATTCATCATTCTTATACTTGTTTCAGACACGTAATTATACATGCTTTGATGTTATGCATCTAGTTTGAGCTGATTTCAATCAAAATTAATTTTTATGAATATTTAAAGTTACTGAAAAATCTGCCCAAGACCATGCATGTATGGTCTAAAATTAAATTTTGTCAAAAATGGCTAAGAAAGAATTCACCACTTCTATAACTTTTTTCTGATGCATATACATGTACTTATGTTGTGCAGAAAATTTGAGCAATTTTTTAAGTTGGTCAAAAAGGCATGCACTATAGTGCAGTGGCCAGTGCTCACTTAGTAAGTTAGTATGCTTTATGAAAATATGTATGATAGCTGAATTGCAACCAGTGCTTCCACAGTTCAATGGCAGTCACAATCTCCTATAACTTCTCCATTTCTTAAAGCAAGCCATGTTTCTGTTTCATGCAAAAACAGTACTTGTTATTGAAATGACTTCAGTATGACATAATTGTAATTCTAATTAAGTCTATTTTTACAAACAGAGTGCAATTGAATGTGTAATTTTAATTGAGGTTTTGTATTTGACCCCAGGTCAGTATTAGATATACAAAATTAATGATAATATAAATTAAAATTAATCTTACGGTTTTTGGCTATCATTTACATCACAGTACTGAACGTAAGTATGAATAAACTCAAATAACATTTCTAACAAGTAATCCAGGTCCGAAACTTTATGAGCAGCCTTTTCTAAAGCAGCTCTGGCATCAGACTGAAACATAATTATTAGCATGACAGTAATAGTTACGACAAACTCTATTTTTTACCTTTAGAGTATTTCTAAACTGTTTTCTAACATGTTCAAAGGGATTCTGAAATTAGAGTAACAATATTGATTTATGTAAGACAGAATAATGCTAACAATTTTGTGACGATTTTTGACCCTTGCACATTCCACTTGAAGAAACCTCCACAAACCAATAACATGCTCTAAATTGCAATATTCCATTATCTAGGAGAATAGTGAGAATCTAATGAAAAATTTAAAATAAACTACCTTCTTGCTTCTTATTCGTTCTTTCATGAGAAGATCAACTTCAATATATTCACTTAACTTCATGGTTTTTGGAGCAGTTTGCTTGCTTAAAAACTTCATTGCTACTTCTAAAACTTCGCAAGTTCCAACTATTACTTGCACTGTCTTAAGATCAGATCTAAAATCTGATTTCACTTTGAGTGGCAGCGGTGACTGTCAAACATTTAAAAATTAAATAAAAATGAACTAAACCTCTTACCTGTTCAATGTTTTTTGTAATCAGTGCAATAACTTGCCTTAGCTTTACAACATTTTCAACTGTAGGAATATTAAGAGTATCAATGATGAATGGCTTGCCAAGTACATATTGCTGCACAATATCTTTCTCAAGATTATCCAGCATGTATTGAATTCCAATGGTACCAGATGGATTAGCAATAAAGACACTGTGAGTTGTGACTAGTTCTCTGAGTTTTTCTGTATTGCAGTTAACAGCATGCAATGATGAATCCATTTCTCTTAAAGACACTTTATGTGCTTCCCACATCCACCGCCTAAAATTGAAATAATTTTTAAATATAACATAACTTTTTTAAAGCTTACTTGTTTAAGTTATTCTCCACAAAATCTCTACATAGCTTGATGAAACTGTTGTGAACTATAACAAGATGATCAACTAAAGCTGTACTTAGTACACCAGGACCAGATGTGGTAGGAATCAAATATTTCATAGGAATATCGGCAGCTATCTCTTCAACTTTGAGAGCTTCAGTTGTATTTAAGCGATCTGTTTAAAAAAAGACATAACTAGTACTAAGTTAAAATCTAATGTGATTTTACTTTAACTTTTACATTGAATATTTACTTTCTAGTGCAGCAGGGTTTTTGCTGGTCCAGAAATGCCAGAATTTCAATCCACAAAATTAGGGGCAAGGTTACAAAATTAGGGGCAAGGTTAAGTATATAAGCTCATTAATTAATGCAGATTATGAATGCATTGTATCATGATTTCATTTATCAAAAGTTTTCAAAGTTTTAAGCTATACAATGCACAAAATTAAAACAATAAATTTTTTAAAGCAATAATAATAATTATGGCAAAGCCTAGTAGGTAAATTATTTACAACAACTTTCAAACTTTGTAGCAATGCAAACAACTCAATATATTTCTCATGCATAAAATTTGGTAAAAGAGGGCAAAATAAAGGTTACTGTATTTGGATTAAAAAATTTTGTTGTAATAAAAACTACAAACTATATTTTCATTTTTCATGTGTATCAATTTTCACAGTGCTCCTGATACTAGCATACAGAATTTATGTTAATTACAAAACTTCAATTACAATTACACATGCATATTGTATTAGAAAAAATTATAAAATTGAGGAATTATATTCCAGAAATTTGTGATGAAATTGGCTTAAGACATAGTACAGGGTCTTTGGCCCAATTTTTTAGCAACTTTTGATTCGATCCCACTCATACTTTCTCCACGATATAGGTACATGTATATGAATCAGGAAAAATTATAAAATATAAAATTCTATTCAAGCCATTTGACAAAATTTGGCCACAGACTGTGTATTATAATAGTACAGGGACTTTGGCCCAATTTTTAAGTAACTTTAAAAATTTATAAAAATCCACTTTGATTGGAATTAGCTTGAGCAATATACAACAATATATCAGAAAAGAATTATAAAAAGAATTATTTTAGTCAGTTTGATGAAATACTATGAAATAGGAAGCTCTACTGAGCAACTTAAACAGCTGGCACAAAACAGTGATTTTGATACTTTCACTACATGTGCACAGTGCAATTATGTAATGTATTTAGATTAAGAAATTTTCTTGCATCTGTATTGAATCAGTATTCAGTACACTAGTTTATGATAACTCAATATTGATGAAGATTCTGACTATATTCTTTTTAGGCTAAACACCTGATTAAAATTATATTAATGTAATTGGGCATTTAGTTACAAGTATGTTATGACAATATCAAACATGATAATTTTTGCCCATAATTTGTAAAATTTTTAGTTGATCATTACTAAAGTAAGCACTATTTACCATAATTATTCATTAGGCAGTGTCTACAGGAACTCCATGCCATGGTCAACGACTTTACTAATGCTTCATAATTTTCTTTCTCTATATCATCTGCAGGAATGTATACATGTACATGTAATTACCACTGATGCATAATTTGCTTGTTAAAAAATTACCTAAAAGTTGAACAAAATCCTCAAATGTTTTTTCCTCATCAACTTTATTTTGTGATAGTTTTCTTTGCAGAGCAATAATATCTGAGATACATACTGTTGCATTTATGCAACTACTCTAAATATATTATCAAATTCGTCAATAATAACATACAATATAAATTTCAACCTCAGTTATTAATGTGAAAAGGACAGGGTTAGTATCTTTTCGTTGAAAAGTTATCAAGCCATGTCTAAGATATTCAAGAGTTGGTTCTGGATATACCTGCCACAAAAAGGGATCAGCATTTCTGTGGGCCATATATGCTGAATCAAAAAGAGCACTGTAGTCTGAAACAATAATTATGACAGTGACATGCAGATATGCTATTGTTACCAGTGTCTGAATGCATTTTGCTGATGCTTTCCAGTAAGTGCACTTCAAAATTCTACATGTATCATCAAAGTGAATTAGTTACAATATGACATAGGTAGTCTACCTCTAAAACTGGTGTAATGAAAAACTGATGAAATAGTTCCTCCCATTGTTCTCGATCAGCAATGCTACGTAGTTGTGTGATTGATCTAACGACTATACAAACACATAAATGGTACTATGGTTATTGTAACAAATGTACTGTAACTTACCGTTTGGAAGTATCCCAACTTGTAGACATTTCTCATTAATCTTCTTTAACACAAAATGAATTACAAAAGAGGCTTCTTCCACAGAACAACTAAAAGCTTTTGATAAGTCATTGATATCAATTTCAATTTGAATCCAAAAATAGCTCTCAGGATCATCAATCTTTCCATTAAGTATTTGTCCAACATTCTATTAAATTATATAAGGTATCAATAACAACTTTCATCAATTACCTTTCCATCATGAGTTGCCCACAACAAAATGCAATGAATGATACACCTTATAATACTGTATGATATTCCATTAAGATATCCAAATGGAGGAGTCTCACAACCAACTGCCACCGGTACATAGCCTGTTGCTGAAGGAATAAATCTGTAAGAGATATACGTGTATAGTGCTCAAACAACATAACTTATATTTACTGAGGATAAGCTGGTTGAGGTGACTGAATAATATTCCCGCATTCTGGACAAGAAATATCAACCTATTATTTAAATAAATGAAAATTCATGTACTAAAGCTTACCATTGTTGATGGAAACTTGTGGCCCTTTGTACATTCTGTAGTATTAAATTTTAATTTAGTCACAAGCAATAAATAATACCTGGGAAAAGAGGCACTTCGATACTTGCAGTACCAGTATTGGTACTGGAGGGCATTCCAGGTAACATACAACCCTATTCAAATGATTATCGTCATATAAATAATTGTTAATTAGTATACTTGAAGTGTGTCAGGCGATGTCAATAATGAGTGTAATACTGATATTAGAGGAGATTGCCTGTTAGCTTGTACTGTCAATACTGAGTGTATCAATAGTGTCCTAAATATAATGGTTCTAAAGGAGTCCTCTTTTAACACCTTTATTGCTGGAATTATGCGACAATTTTTTATAACTATTTCCTCAATACATTTTGAAATCTAAATTAAAATCAATATTACTAAATATATCAAAAGCCAGGTACCTACTTCACGATAACTATTGAAATGCTTGCATTGTTTTATAAAGTTATGAAGTGCCTTTATTTTCTAATGAAATAAAATATTTATTAATCAAAAACAAGCATTACTTACATCAGGAGAGAGTCTATTAGATGGTGTTGAACTAACATAGCTTAACTGCATACGATATTGAAGGGCCATTATCAAAGGTACCAGATTACTAACACTGGTTGCCTATATAAATGATATCTCAATATAAAACAAAAAATTGAAGGTTAATATTAGTGTATTATTAGCATGCACTAATTCATAACACATACGCTATTAGAAATTTTTTCAAGAGCTTTGAAATCTCCTGTAACTGTAGTAGCTTCAGAAATAGCTTCATAAAATTTTTGATACTGTGGTTGGTATATAGCTCCATAATTTACAAACTGGCGTTCCTGTAAAAATAATTAGACAGGTAAAACATAATTAAAAAATTATACTTTTAATGAGTCATCAATGTCCATATTTGAAGACAATACCCAGCTGAATTGTTGATATTGCAACTCCATTAGTTTAGTTAAAACAGAAATTCCATATCTTCTGACAACAAAACGTATCAGAAAAAACAAGGGACCAGATTTGTCTGCATCATCATTTAACTCTGGTTTTTGAAATACTGGGTCAGCTTTATTATAAAAATAGTCAACATCAGCTGTACTGTTTAAAGACCTGTAATCTTCATCTGCAACCGTTTTAGCCAATAACTGACACGAATACATTAGTTGAGCAATAGCTAATAGACACTCTGGAGAAGTCATTTCACCATTAGAAGAAGCAGAGAGTAGTATTTCACAGCTAGAGCCTAGCAGAGTATCAGTACAGTAGACAATTTCTGACATTTCAAGGCTTCCCTCTTTATGTGTCTAGAGTAACAAGCCACTTAAATGTATAATATGTAAAAAAAACAATTACTTTCATTTTTAAGTAAGCAATGACAAGTGCAAAGAAGCTGTTCATAGATATTTTTGTCTGACCAGATACAGAAGCAGCAATACAATCTTTGATTTTTAGCAAATGATCAGTAGCCATAAATAAACTGTTAAAAACAAATTATAAAGAACATAAAAGGTAACTTACTCTTCAGACAAAATAAGCTTGATAGTAAAGGAATGAAGGAAGGGTAATTTTTCAGGATGACGTTGAATATAAGTATGTAATTTTGGAATCTCAGAGGCATTACTAAAAACACTATCTACTAAAATCTCAAGTACTTCCTTATTGTCAGAGTCACAAAAGTTAAGCAGAACATCCACAAAAAAATTCCAACAGCTTTCTTTAATGCTAATTTGATCAGTCTTGTCACTAAAGTGTCATACAAAAATTAGGAAATTCAAAACATTATACAGGCTTGATTCACATGTTTTTAAAGCAGGCATAGGGCACAGAAAACAATATAAATTGCACAAAAGGCCAATTTACATATGAGAGCAAATAACATATCATCAAAATTGCTGAATAAGCAGAAGCAATGATGCCATATGCAGTAATGCAAAAATGTATTTCACAACTATAATTTTTGTTAATTGATATAGTGAGAAAAAAGATAATTACAGGCTGCTGCTATTTTTAATACATTTATGATATAGCATTATTGATAAACAAGCTGTGGAAAATAATCATAACAAGAACTAAGAATAAATGTTGGCTACAAGATAATGTAAATAAAATACACACAATTCAGTATAAGTGTAGCACTTACATCTCTTTCATAACAACATCTTCAACAGCAATCAGTAATGTTGAAACAGATTTTAAAACTTGTGGGCCTCGGTAGTCCTCTATTTTATCTGAATACTACGTGTACAAGTACATAGATCATATTAATTATTTAAGGTAAATTTACTCTGTCAAGACGTGTGGCAAATTTAAGCAGCTCATTTTCATGATCAACAACAACATGTTCCATAAAAAGCTTCATAACACACAATCTTTGCCATTGTTTCCTAAACAAGAGCTGCATCAAATTAACACTTTATGATGGAGCAATACTTCAGTTCATGGCAATTGTCTAGATGAAGGTTGTTAAATATATTATCAATTATTGCTTGTAGTTGGTACATCTTCTGCATCCATCCTCTAAGAGCTGCAGTGCCCTTAAGAGGAACTTTCTCATCAAGATGAATATTATTTAAAACCTCTTGGAGTGCAACGACAATTAAAGACTAAGTATAAACACATCATTATCTGCACATAATTATTTACACTTACTGATATGTCAGATATTGTTTCATTTTTATCAGTGATAGCTCTAACAATGGAGGGCATTTCAACAGCTAAATCCAAGAAACATTCAAAATATTCTTCAAAATTAGAATAAGTAAAATGAATTTCAGATAGAATCTCAATAAAATTGCTTTCATCATTAATAGATCTAGTAGCATAAGACATTGTCAACAGTGCCTTGGAAAGAAGCTATACAATTAACAAAATAGCAATAGAACAAAAAATAACACTAACTTCACAATGTGTTGCATCTGATGATCTCAAAAGAAAAACAAAATCATGAGAATAAAATGCTGCAAATTCCTTAAAAAGTGCTGGAGGAAGGCTTTTGAAGCACTCTTGCAATTCAAAATCTTGTAAAATATCTACAGAGACATTGATCATATATAATTAACTAAGTACAAACCTTCATTATCATCATCAATTTTTTTGTTGATGTACTCATATATTATCCATGAGAATGGGAATGAACATTGAAAGACTTTCTGATCAATTTTCTCGTACTTCTGAGAAGCTACAACTTTGAACAAAGTACTTTGACACAGCTCCCATGAGCTATAGATATTCAACCATAGTTTAGAGAGAGGTTTATCATTTTCATCAAGGCAGTCAGGCATCAGTAGTTGAAGGTTGGAATGCCTATCAATAAATCTAATTATCTGTATAAAAAGTGGCTTCAAGGTTTTATCAAATCTCCTTATCAGAACATTGCTAAAACTGCCACCTTCTTGAAGATGTTGGATACTTATTGCCTCTTCAAAAACCCACCACTGACTGTCATCCATCCCTTCCAGCACCCTCTTCATTAAAGCTATTGTTACAGAGTAAAATATTTGACCTAAAAATACATATTATTGTAAGACATACAGTTATATCTAAAACATGGTACTTCTTTGTGCATTTTTTGATATTAAACTCTCCAATTTTTTAATTTTTTGGGATGACTGAATCTTTTCTGATTGATCTAATTGTGATACAGCATCAGTAATATAAGTATGAACACGACTGCAAAGATTGACTGGTTCAGCTTCATCAAGAGGAAACAACTGAAGATACTGGTTAGGATCATTTACAGTATTAAATAATTTATCAGCAGTTGAGTCTGTGCCTTCAGCAAGAAACAGATGACTAAGGTGATTTGACTGACAAACAATTTGCCTCAAAAGGGCTTTTGATTCTTTTGATGGAATGAGCTCATCAACATGATAGCATACCCAGGGGTACTCTTGAAAGCTAACAAAGTCTGTATTGTCACACTTTCTTGGCAAGTGAACAATTAAGACAAATAAAGTTACTGATTTTCCTTTAGTCAGTTCTTTAATTTTGTCAACAAGGCGGTATCGGCAGCAAGATATCAGGTTACCATTATCTTGTCCAAATTCACACTCATAGATTTGGTAAAAAGGCTTCATTTTTCCTTTATCTATAGCACCACTATGAACAACAAAAATGTATAGCAGTTGTAAAAAACTAGCTTACTCAACACTAGCAAGGAATTCATATTCAGTTTCAAATGCTTCTAAATGAGCTCTCTCAAGTTGAGTGTCATCTATTCTTAATGATTCTTTAAGAGAGTGGATTTCTTTTTGATACATTGGAAGGCTATGAGACGTCACCTAACATTAATACAATAACTTGATAAATATTAATTTTTATAGGCCATTGACAAAGCAGTGGATTTGGGGCTGAAGGGAAAGGGTGCAATATGTATGGGTGTGCAACTGTGCATATTTAAAAATAATGCTCAGAGATGAAGTTCATAAGCCCTAGCTATCCTACTTTTTGGGATCTGATATTGTTTGGGGCCCTGGGACTTTCACTATCAGCATGTGCCTCTATACCTGTAATAAAAAGGTATTTTCGTCATGCCATGAAATCCTCTGTAAAAGTCCAACCAGTGAAGAATGCTCTTGTTCATTAAAATAGACTTGTTTTAGAAACATCCGGCCTTCTTCGGTATCCTTTTTAAGAGCTCTAACAACAGCATCTGGTGTAGCCATTTGTAGCAGTAATTTCTTACTTAGCTGTAACACCTGCATGCACATGTTATGACAAAAGATTAAGTAACACTTATTGTACCATTTTTTCTTTTTCAAGAATGTTTTTAGACATTTGAAATTGAGTAGTAGCTTGCAGGACAACAGCTGCTTTGGTGTCAGAATTGTACCCAACAAAGGCATCTTTTATCTTAAATCTGTCACAAATTATAATACACAATAAACAAATTGTATTCACATACCCATCATTATCAGTCATAAAACTTTTAAGCCATTTCTCTATGTCATCAACTACAGTCTTCTGCCAATCTTCCAAAACTGTTTCATTATTTATAAAATGCTTTTCCAAACGATTCACTAAAGGTGTAGGAAAATCGTCATAAACTTTTTTCTTTTCAGCAATCAGTATAAGTCTGAAAATTAATCAAATGTCATCAATCATAAATATTTGACTATACTTAAAGTCTTCATGGACAGAGCATTTCATCCTGTGAGTTCGTAAGCCAAGATCAACATAGCGATGACGGCCACTTTTAATATAATACTGAATACATTGGGGAAAATCTTAATATTAAAAAATACTTCGACAAACTTGATTTAGAAGATCATAAAGACTTTCATATAAATTCTCCAAATTTAATAAAATAATCATTCGACCAGTTTCCATACATAATCTAATTTCACTGATATTGCGACAAACCTATAAAAATTGTAATGTTAATATTAATTCATGAACTATGAAACTGCTACTCTTACCTGCGCAAAATCTCTGTCTTTTGGAAAACTGCTGCCAAATAATACAAATGGTTCATATTGGGATGCACTTGACTTTGAATAACTACTCATTATGTAATGCTTCAGAATTTGTAATGAAGAATAATTATCAGTTAAGAATAACAAATAGCGACTTTCACTATTGCAAAATGTAATGAGTTATTAGAAAAAAAATATGTAAATGTACTAACCCATGTTTTGATGTATCTCTGTTAATCAAACTTTCTCTTATTAGACCACGTGGTGAGCAGTCAGGATTTGCAGGACTATTTTCCTGTCCAAATATAAATATTAGATGGAAAATAAACTTTTACTGGATGAATAGGAAAAAAGTTTGCTTCATCTTCAATTTCTGCTGGTTTGGAAGATGTCATAGAAATTAATTGAATTCCATGGCCTAAATTAAGCACATAAAATTATTGTCAATAACATTAAGAGTATAACTGGATGAGTGCCACAACATTATCTACTCTTGATGAAATCAACTAACTTTTAACTTCTTTTACAGAAAAGTAACAGCGTCCTTTTTTCAATGTCTATAATAATTTTAATTACATAAGTAGAAAAATTATTGTTACCAGCTTTCCTCTATATTCTGCAATAAAATAATCTGGGAAGTACAAACTTTGAAATGTAAACAATTTCTTCTTTCCAGATTGGCTTTCACAATAAATCACAAAATGACCTTAATAGAAATGAAGTATTTATAACAGCAAAACATCAATTACTTTGTACATTTCTCTCTTCTGTGAATTCTAATGTGGTATTACATGCTGTTGCTAGAAATAATTTTGATTTTTCACCCTTTAACAAAACAACAGCTTTGTTATGTAATCGTTTCATCAAATTTGAAGCTCCTTGAACATTCTGTAGTTAAAATATTTAAAGGAGAGAGTAAAAATGCTGGAATTACTTCAAGTTCTGGAAGCTTGTTAAGAAAACATTTATAAGGATCAAAATCTTTAGTTGCCGTGAATCCACTGAAATTACGTTTGATAGCATGCCTCAGTTGAGGTACAGTAAGAATAGTGCCTGTTGATTTTGTCATCCAATGGAGCATTTTAATGAGGCTAGATTTACAGTTAAAACATTAAATTTTTTAAAGTTTAGAAGAGAACATACCTATAATAATCTCTAAGACCAAAAAATTCAGTTGGCTGGTTCTTAAATATCTCATGATATGCACGAGCAAGATTGTCAAAGTAGTGGGCAAGTCGTGTTTGTGCATCTTTGTCAGAACAAATCCCTCTACATTTAAAAAATATGAATTTTATGACAAAAGAATGAGCATACTTTGCACTGTCTATAAGATCATTAATAGATGGTTCACTTCTCCTGACTAAAATTCCTCTATTCATTTTAGCTGGATCCAATGCCCAGTTGGATATACCAACAAATGCTACACGATCTTCTCTTTTGACACGCTAAGATAAATAACTGGCATAATGCTGAACACTTATCAATTGCTTACTGTGTCAGTACTACCAGTTCCTTCTGTTCCATCCTCTAAAAGTGGATGCAGAGACTTCAATGGTAGATAAGGAGATGCTTCAGCCAATCCAACTTCATCCAGCACAACAACTGACACAAAGGAACTGTCATTCTTCCTTCTTTTCTCTTGATACTTTACAGCAGAGTAAAATACTTCCCTGATACTACCTGCGGTTGATAATTCACTGCACTGATAGGAATGAATATGAACCTAAAATTAGAGAAAATCATTTGTATTATAATAAAATCACATAAAATTACATGATTAAATTGTTTCAGAGTTTTATTTTTGGAATTTTGTCCTCTCATTGAATTTTGAATTATGGTCTTTGCTAGAGACTTTGAACTACCAGGTTTCCCAACTAGAAACAGTGGAATACGTAACTGAATGCATACAAACATCATAAACAAGTTTTCTCTCAATGCTGCATTCCTTGCTATATTTTCTTCAATAGACATACAGTCAAGTAGCTTATTTTGATACCTACATTGTATAACACATAACACTTTCACCATTATGTTTAATGCTTACCCAGATAATATTGGCCTAAAATTACATGTGTGTGCATGATGTACTGACAAACACTTTAATTCTTTTGAGTTGCATATAGTTTTAAAAATACAATCTTCAAACTTTGTTCTAGCAGCATCATCAACATCTTGTGAGTCAAGTCTAGCAAAGTATGACACTGTCAGTGCCAATAATAAAGAATCGGTTGTCTTTGAAGTTATTCTTTGAGTCTATAAAATCAGGGATATAATGTAATAATTATGGGATTTTATAAATTAACTTACAGGAAATGAAACAATAAATTTATTGTAAAAGAACCTAAAAAATATCATAGCCCGCTCTACATCACGAAGGCTAACAAAGCTACATTCATCCTAATTAAGATTATTATATTTAAAAACATACTATTATAACATAAACCTGGTTGTTTTTTAAATATTTTTGACATTCTGCAAGAACATGAGCAATAGCATGAAGTACTTCCTTTTCATATATTTCCTATAATAAATACAAACAGTCAGGTGTATGCCAAATAAACATTCAAATGACAAAAATCTATAATTCAAAAACCTATTTTCATCACACCAATGAATTCACATAAAGTGGTATGGTGAAACTAATGCAACAAAAAATTTTTGTGAATCCTGCAATTTTAAGATTTCATGTAATAAATTTTTGCAAATAGCTTGCAAACAGCACCACGTGGCAATGGAGCTGCAGAATTTTGTGATCTTAATTTTTGTGATGGAGCAAAAATAGCAAAATTTGGAAAAATTATTTGTTGCATAAATTCCATGTATATGGTATTAAGCTTATGACAGCAAACACACTTTCTATTGACATTATCAAGATCATATTTTACTCTTGACATTGTAGTTTTAAAAAATTAAGACATAATATTCTTAGTCTGTCCAACTGCAATGGGTTTTTATCTCATACACTATGCATAGGAGATGTATATACAGTATACCTGTTAATTTTTGCTTTAGGAAATTTTTGCAAATCTTGCATTTCTAAAATTTTGCAGAATTAATTTTCGCGAATGGCTTGCAGTCTGCACCATGTGGCAATGGAAAAGTTTCACGAAGGAGCAAGAAACTGCAAAATTTGTGAAAAAACAGGTATATGGTATTTTCAAGGGTAAACAGTTCTACAATTATAAATTGGTAGCATGGACATTTGGAAAATGTCAAACACTGGCTATTTTCGTGGTGGTTCATTTTCATGGTTTTTGTGGTTGTGAGGTACAAAATTATTGAAGTGCTATCCCCTTATAGAGTGTGAACCACGAAAATTGAAATCACAAATTGCCCCACAAGTATATAGCAAACCTCAAAATATTTGATAAGGTTTGGTGGATTATGCTCTAAATTGCTCTATTATGCTATGCTGCAATTCTGAGGAGAAGCTTTATTTATATGAATTTCATCATAATAACCCAAAAATGTGAGCTTAGTTCGGCAAGTCATCCAATTATGAAGTTCTTGAGTATACTGGGAACAATAGTAGCTGTTTAAACAATAAAACACAGTCAATTTAATGAATGCAAGAGCCTGTTCATTGCATTTCTCAATACATTTTTTCAAAATTCTCTTTATAGCCCTATTATGCTTACATTATGCTTATGCATTGGGGTCCTATTAAAATGTATGTTCAAAATTATGCTAGCTGGCATAATCCGCCAAGGCCTACATGAAACATTAGACCTACAAAAATAACCCTCTATATGGTATGTGATAAATAATTATTAAGAATATTTAAATTATTTATGAATAATTCTGTTTGATGCTAAAGATATGAATGAGGCTTCCAAATCCTATGGAGACTACTACAACGAAACACCACATGAATACATTATTTTGCTTGAGCCTGATTCACCACTTGTCATGTCTCATGACTATATGTTTAAAACCAATAATTAATCACTTCCTATGAGGTGTTTATGGAATTTGTATAATTGTGAGGAACTAAGCTGTCCTATCTAAGTATTTGCTCTAGTTCGGCGAAGCCCGCTAGAGTATGTATGTCTGTACATGTATGTCACCCCTATTTATTCGTATAAAAAATTTCCACTTTTTTAACAACCTGACTTTAATCTTTATTGAAAAGTGATCATTCTTGACCTTGCAAGTTGCAAGTCACTTAAGTCAGCAAAATAAGTAAATATTGCTTTCCAAATACAGCAAGGAACATTAAAAAAAGCAAGTATGCTGCAATTGCAAAAAATCTGAAGTAAAATGACAGCTGCAACTTGCAAAGCCTGTACAACTACTGACATAAGCTTATTTGCTACAGAATGTGATGAATTTTATAGAAAAAATTCATATTTTAAACTAAGATAACTTTATCAAGATCTATTGAATGTTTAGACTTTAGGATATAGCGTGGCTACATACAAGGTTAAGCCCTTTAATGTTCTACATTCATCTAGTTATAATAAGTTACAACAATGCCAATAGATCGTACTTCTTTGAGTCTGCTGTGAACAATTTGATAAATGTAGTCTCTTTCAGTGTTGCTATCCAATTTTCCGAAATCATACACTAGTGCTTTTAAACTATCAGGAATTTTTAGTACTCTATAAACCAAGTCTCTTAATGGTATTTCTCCTGTGACAAAACATAGATACATTGAGTGACAACTAATATTGTAATTTTACCTATTTACCTAATTTTTCAGTTGCTCTTGAAGGCTCTTTGTCTCTCCATCCAAGGCCAGCACCTTTCAATTGTTTTATCATGGCTTCTGAATGGCTATAAGTTTAAATATTTTGATCATTAATTTAATAACAGTTGTTATACCGTCTATAAGGATTGCAAGCTGCTACAAACTTTAGAAAAGGTGGTACTGGTTTGCCTCTGCATTTTCCATCACACATAATCTCTTTAATCAAACTGATAACATCACTAGTGTTAGCTTCATCAAAGAATACTACAGTATCAACTTTCTCCTTTCTGTTCTTTTTTAATGCTTCAAATTCAGCCTCTTCTAAGCATTTTATTACATCATCTTCTGTTGTACCTCCATGAATCTGTAATACAATCAAGTTAAGTACAGTACTTGAACATCACCTTTATAATAAACATGTTCTTGATATTTTTGTCATAAGCAGCCACTTTACACATAAAGCGAATGAGATGAGTCTTACCACAGCCTGTTTCCCCCATTAATACAACAGGAATCTGACACCTAGAGGGTTGTATGCTATTTAGATCCATTTTTAAAGTTTATAGGGATACAACATTTGAGAAAATAAATTTTGCTTCAATTAATCAACACATGTATGCATGTATGTACAGCTGTAATTCATACATGTATATTATTATAATATCACAGACATAAGACATACCTGAATCGAGTTTGAATACCCATGATCTTGGTTAAGTTATCTTGTGTGAGAACATAATTCTCATCTGGAGATATAATTTCTATCCCATCTTCAATTGGAATATTCATAAAATTTACTAAACGCTTCAGTAGCATATAGCCTTCATTACTACTCCTATGGATATTTTAGATGACTATCACAAATATTTACACTAACCTCTGCAATACATTTCCTATTTTTTGCTGAGAAATTTTGGGGACATTAACTTTTAGTGACAAGAACCGTTCAACTTCTGGGGATATTTGCATAGTAAACTTGTGTTGATGAAATTGTGATTTATCTTCCACAACTTCTAATCCATTCAGTGCCAATCCAACATGTGTCACTGACTTTCTATTTTTATTGAAGAATAGGTAAGGATGGAGGCTAGAGTGAAAATAGGCATAGAAATAAACAATACATGTATTAATAATTATTTTATACCTGTGTTCCCAATTCTGCCTTGGATTGTGCTGATTAATTATGTCTTCACTTCCCTCTTCATTAGGCATAGATGATGTTGCAAAATCCTGTGATAAATATTAAAAAGGTGACATTTAAATATCAGATGCTATTTACTCGTGACATATCAATCATAAACTTGACAGTGAATGTCTTGAGCCCTTTAACAGTTTTGATTACATTGGACTGCTCACAAGCACTAAGTTGATGATTCAAAAACCAAACAAAATGACGTATTTCTTTCCATGTTGGATTTGTTGTGCCACAATGCCTATTAACAAAATATTTTAAATGGAAAAGAATGAAAATACTCACTTTATTATAGTTTCTAAACATTGTTCATTAGTATCCTCCAGGGTACCAATGTACTGAAATTTTTCAAGTTCTTGATACTTCTTTGAGTCAAACAGCTTCAAATACTTGTAAACTCTTTGATACATTGGTGTACGTAAATCAGTGAGATCACCTTTGCCTTAATCAGAACAGGTAAAACAATAAAAAGTATAGCAATAGCCAAGACATAATATTTTCACAATTTTGTCAAAATTAATATCTTTTATCTCTAAATAATATATATTTTTACAAAAAGTGGCAGATTTTTGTGAAATTTTGAAAATATTTCAATGAAAATAATCATGGTACCTATCTTTCTCATCATTTTTAATGGCTGATAGCATTCTTTATTTGGAACCAGATAAAGTAATGACAATGCTCTTCTTGCTTCTGTAAATTTTCTAATATAACTCTGTGTCAAAAATAAATTGTCATAAACAATTGTTCTAACATTGCATACTGTTTCACTGGGTATTGTCATTTCAATAGCATAAAAATGAGTGGAACGACATCTCCAGATTTGTCCTCTACTGTCACTCAGACCTTGAAGAATTATTATACTGAACAAAATATCATCAATACTGTGAAGAACCTAAATAAAACAAATCAATATACTAACGAGACACCTACGGTGCTTGGACTCGCCACAGTTGCTTTTGAATTCATGCACTATCTCTATTATGCAGCATGATAGAAATAATGACCATGATTCCGCATTGCTTTCAATTAATATATAGTGTATGTTTTGCAGACTCAAGTCAAAAGAGCTTTAAAAACTAACACCTATGTATATACTATGATGGCACAGATATCGTTGTCTTGATAGATTTTATTTGCCTAAGAGATCATGCATAAGACAGCAAACAAAAAATTATGCATTAAGAAATCCAAGCAGCAATGCAAGCATGTAAAATTGCCAATTATCAATAGAGGCGTGGCTTCTGTGCCAATAAAATGGCCTTAGTATGACATGTGACTGAATAAGCTTGAGTTTTTCTTCTTACGAGTGGCTTATGACAAGTAATGTGGCACAATACTGCTGCCTAGATATATTTAAAAGATTTGAGAGAGTCTAGTACTGCTAGTCTGCCATATTTCTGCCTCAACCGGCAGGGGCAGATCTAGGATTTAATTTTGGGGGGGGCAATTATGAGATGGGAGGGGTAATTAGGGGGTGTGGTCAACTAAGCTTGTGCAAAACTTTAAGGGAAATAAAAATTATAAAGACTAAGCCTGTTAAAATGAGCTCTATTGTGGTTTAAAGATTGTTTACATAGTCCAGTACTGCAGCTGCTTCACAGTTTACATAGGTAAACCAAAGTTTACATTACTCCAAAAAATTTTTGGGGGGCATTGGCCCCCCTGGCCCCCCATAGATCCGCCACTTCTCAACCCTTCCCAAAGTCGGACAGGCAGGATGAAGTTTGGAGCATAAGTTGCTACCAAGTAAGAATTAAGAAATTCTACACATACTAATGAATTAGAAGGTAGTTTTCTACTGGAAAATGCTTTTGTCTATCTCAAGAGTGTCAGCATAATCGCTATATTAAAAAAATTTTTCTCCCTTACTTTGCAAGCTTCTTCTCCATAGCGCTGCTCTTTAAACATTTTTAGCTGATAAATGAAGGCTTGGGCTAGCAGTGGAGAAATATCTATGAGTCTAGAGGACTTAGTTTTTTAATTAAAAAAGTTAAAAAAAAATCTCATTAAGACATGCAGGACAACCCAAGTACTTAATACTCGGCTGCGCAGCGAGTCCAAAAATAATATAGCAATACTTTACCTGCTGAGGTACATCAATATGAATGATGCAAGATTTCACAACATTTTTTTCAGCCAGAAGCATCTTCAATACTTCATCAGGAGTAACATCAGGCCCATGTAGAGGAATAGATAGCATCACCTTTGGCTTTTTCTTGCTAATCAGTAAGTCTTTCTCCTTTAATACTGCATTGAGTCTGTCTTTCATTTTACGAATATGAAGTGATTTGCCAGCAGCAGCTTGTTTTGAATAAATAATACGCACAAGAGACCTACATGTATAATGATTAGAAATATTAGAAAAATTAATTTTGTACTCTTCGTCATCAATAATGGAGGCATTGATGTTCTTGTCATTGGTCTTTGGTATGAAATGCTTTTTCAAGTATTTCTTCAGGATATTCAAATCATCGTTCTTTTTCCAATTACGATGATAGGAATTAAGACGTGTTATAACATGTGACTTTCCTTCTGACTCATTGCTGCACACAATAACCAATCTGTAATCTGCAAAAACAGTTTAATACTGAAGCTTAAATACAATATTTTACCAGTTATTCCTTGAGAGAGATATAAAAGCAAATCAATTGCTTTATCAGATACCAAATAGCCAAGTTTTTCAGCATGAACTAAACAATAAATTCTTCCAGGATATTGATCGAACAAAGTTCTCATCCAAAAAACTACTACCTTAATAACATTAATATAAAATTATCAGTGTTCAAGTTGCATTACTTGTTCAAGGGTTGTGTTTGAAGAGCACAAAAGGATTTCTTCATAACATGGTAATGGAGCATCTTCATCCTCAGCATATATTTGAATAACACAATTGAATATTTCATCTAAATGAAAATGGCATAATAATCATTAGTATAACTACAGCTCTAACCTGCTGGTGCTACAACAAGATTTGGTTGACCCTTTTCAAAAAATTGTTCTGGAAAACTTCTTTTGATTTGCTTTCGTCCTAAACAAAATTATAATACCACTTATAGTATACTACGTGGGCATATCAAAGGCACTGCCTGTTTGTCATATTGCATACAGCACTCAAACTTAAAAGGCCTTTTCACACTGGCCAAAGTAATGTGCATTGATGTGCATTAATCGTGTTCACACTAGAGTGGTTTCAAATTGATGGGCTCTCACTTCACCTCCAGAGGTGGATTGATGTGAAGTGATGCGTGTCGATCAATGTAAGCCAATGGCAACAAGAACACAAAATGATACATACCGTACAGAAGGAAATTTTGGAGGGACTAAATTTTGGCGAATTGCTAAATTTTGGTGATTGGCGAATTTTAATTTGGCGAATTTGTGGCCACGTGCCATTGAGCATGCGTATAATGGCTCAAAATGGCAAATTTTTATTTTGGCGAATGGCTATCAAAACGCCAAATTCGCCAAATTTAACTACCTCCAAAATTTCCTTCCATACGGTAATTCAGCTGCTAGTGTGAACAAGATCATTATTTCAGCTGTATCAACAAAGCGCATCAAAGCGCTTTGAAAACTGTGCGGCAGTGTGAAAAGGCCTTAAGTCTGTTGGTGAGTGCACAATGGCTAGAGCCACACTGGGTGAGAAACTCTTTGTGATCAGAAAAGAAAAGAAACTGCTCTAGTTGTTGTGAAAAAGACTCAAAATACTTCTTTACCACCACTGTCGGCTTTTGCAGTGTTTTAGTAGACAGATATCATACGACAATTGTCTTGCTAGACAAAGCGAGCTCGTAAATGTCTGTATTAGCTTTGTCTAAGCTTTGATAGAGCATTAAAGACTCCAGAAAACTTTCCTAGGCATGCATTTGGCTGATGCTTTTGATGCACATTTGTATATACCATAAATTAATTATACCACAGTAAGGAGTACTGTATGGGCCATGATGGCTAGTGGGGTGGAGTCTTGATAGCCAATAGACCCTATAGGGCGCTAACTTCTAGAAGCAATTATAGATACCGTATATGAGACACTATTCGTAATCTTCCGTATCCTATCCGCATTCTTTAATGAAAAAATTTCGAAATTCTCCTGCTGGACGGCAAAACCAGGCAAAACCAATGGATAGGAGGCCAAAAGCAGCCTTTGTGGACAAGTGGCTTCAAGTGCAATGAAGCTTTTTCTCAGGAGACATTCTGGGCTCTATTCTTCACTGTTACTGGCATTTATTGCCACTCAAACAAGCTCTTGAAGCCACGAAGGCCTCTTGTTCCTTGTTTTCCCAGGTATCTTGCCGTCCAAATCATGAGTGTGGGTGGATACCGTAATGCAATAATTACTTGCAGAACTTAGCGCCCTATAGGGTCTATAGCATTGGCTATCACATTATTGGCTGTCTTGGCTCCACTCCATGTACATTTATGGGCCATACAACCCTTTTTAATGGGCCTATAACTATTACATACAGTGTAGCTGAGAATTTAAACTTTTGTGGATCTGCTCAAAATTTAGTTTCATGGAATCAACTAATCTAAGCATTTGAACATTTTGTAGATTTAAAAAAGCAAATCTGATATCCGCAAAAGTTGATTCTCTCAAAAGTGTCCTGCTATACAGCAGTGTTGTTTTAGTTCATGATTTTTATTTTAGTTTTAGTTATGGTACTTTGAGAAAAAAATATATTTAGTCCTAGTTCTAGTTATAGTAAACTCTCAGGCTATTTATTTTAGTTATGATTATGTGATACCAATTTCTTTTAGTTATAGTTATAGTTTTAGTTATAACAAGCCAGGCAATAACAAGCAAAAAAAGTCGTTGAGTCATGAAGTATTACCATATACAAGCATGCCCCACTAACAAATAGTGATGGGCGATATATCGATTCTTTATCGATATAAACGATATTTTACGGAATCGATTTGAATCATTATCGAAAATTTTATACAATTTTCAGCGATCTATTGACCACGCCCATTTATTAAGGTTAAATAACTAATTTTAATAAGTAACTGCACTGTTGAACTGCAAGAAAGAGGCAACTGACCAGTTGTTAGCTCAGCCTACCCCAATAAGAAGAGAAACAAGGCTCAAGAGCATGGAAATTATCTTCTTTCATATCCAGTACAGTGCCAAAATCATTAGCCACACCCCCAAATGAAGGTGTGGTTATCGTATCGTTAATAATCGATATTTCCTCAAAAAGTCCATTATCGATCGTTATCAAAAATTAAGAAAATTGGCCATATCGCCCATCACTACTAACAAAAGTACTCTTTCAACAGGGTCAAGTTTAGATTTTAACTAATAAGTAGGTGTGGCTAGTACTGGTACAAAACTGTTAATTCTATTTTAGTTATAGTTTTGACAATTAAGTCATTTTAGTTATGATTCTAGTTAGTTTGACATCAAATAGAAGAATTATAGTTTAGTTAACTAAAATTACAATTTTGTTGTAATAAAATAGATTTATTTATTGTTATAGTTAACTAATACAACACTGCTATACAGTAATAATGATAAAATAGTTATTATACCTCTCAGTTTTGTGATTGTCTTTAAAAAATCTCCAAGATCATTGAGTGACATCATCATCTTCTTGTCATCCATTAGTAGATTGCTGAAGTATATAATATCAAAAATATTATAGATGTGTACTTGGACTTACGGTGTAAAATGAATGTCACTGCTTACAAACATTGATACAATAGGAGTAACATCAAAATGAACAAAATCAGGCATAACTGATATTTTAATCGGGTTTTGTTCGGAAACTGTGAGTGAACAGTCTTGAGAAAATGATAAGCTATTGGTAGATGTAGCAGTAGTTTGTGCAGGGAAATATTTATTTCGTAGAGTTTCCTCTTCTTTATCCTCTAGTTCATCACACCAGTCCATTGCATTATATATGTCATCATGCAGTGTTGCTGCTTCAACACTTTTATAATTTTGATATCCACAGTTAACTAATTCATGATATATCTCTCTCTTTTTCTCATTTAGACTGTTCATAGCTTCTTGCAACACAGAAATACTCTCAACTTCAGATGCATTAAGACTCACTGCATCATCTACCGAAAGGAGAAAGTCAACTGGCTGAGCAACTTCGATTGATGAAGAATCCTCCTCATTATCTTCATGAACTATACTAAACTTTTCATCATACTTCAGTCCCTTCTTTAAAAGCATTGTAGAATCAACAGGTTCCCCAACTACACTATGAAGAAGGTAAAATACTTGAGGATTAACTTCTTTTGATGGATCATTCTTAATCAATGTCAGCTCTTTCCTGAAAACAATGAGCTGCTCTGTAGTGTAGTAATTTAATTCAGGAAACTCATAACGACAGTTCCATACATTATACATCCAACTAATTAAAGTGTTTTCTAAAGTACTGATTTCCTGGTCCAGGCTTTTTAAATTCCATACATACTCAGGGCAGTGATATTTTTTCTCCCAGTCAAGGTACTCTAAGTGACCAAAATCCTTTAACTTTTGAACAGATTCAGAAATGAGAATTATTCTCTTCAGCATCTAATAATACAATTATAATAAACATTCCAATGGTGCATACTCACCTCTTGAAATAGCTCTTTTTCTTCAGCCCATGATGAATGCTTCCTTGTAATAAGAACAAGTTTACTCTCAAGTTCATTGAGATCATCTAACGATACAATATGCTTTTTATCCTGAACTATGCTTAATGATACTCTGCATTTATGGGAGTCCCCTGAAGACTGAATACTATAGGATCCATGTTGATTAATTTCTCTCATTTGTGTCACAGCTCCTTGTTCTATTGATCCCTGTAGTTCTCCAATCCTCTTGTACCATTCAAAATCATTGTTACAAATTTCCTTTACAATAATGACAGAATGGAATATTGATTAACCAATACCAGTAAATAACTAATAACTTACAACTAATGAAATAGCACCACTTAGATCAGATAGCTTCTTATAAGTATCTTCAAAGAGCTTTATGAGACATTTTATTTTAGACTTAGATTCATCAAAGTTGTAAATTAAAAGTGAAAACTTGCTACACAACTCTGATAAATTTGTTAATCTATCTTGTATCTCATCTCCTTCTTCAGCCAATGTATCTAATACTACTCCAATAAATGTCTCCATTGCATTCAAATCTAGAAAAGAATATGATCTAGCTCATTCAGCAATTATGCTCACTGTAATATAGTTTCACAATACTTCGTGATTATTACAATTAATTTGTCTTGCAAAGACAATGTTATATGTGTATTACATAGTATACTAGTAGGTCGCATATACAAATATAGGACCTGAGGTTTGTGTTCAAGGATGTGATATAGCCCAAGGGGCGTAGGCCCAAGAACAAAGGTCCTATATTTTGCATATGAGACTATTCTAGTATACTATATATGATATATTGCATAATGATGACAGCATTTCTGCATGGCAGGTCTATATACAAAATATATCTTGACCAACAGTATATACCTTCACTTTTAGCTAAAATCCATTCACGTAGCTTTTTGCTTTTAGCGAACATTCTTATTGAATCTTTAATTTCTCCTGTTAGTTCTTTAGTTTTTCTCATGAATTCTAAAATTTCTTTTTCTGATGCAACTGATTTAAGTTTAGTAGTGTGAAGACTCTAAATTATTACAATAAATAACTTGTAAAATACTAGATAGCAAACACTCACTAAGTTTGAGAATGCTATGAATTCAGCAGGTTCAACTTCTAAATCATTTAATATATCTGCAAAGTCTTGTGCTTCTATTAATAAGGGTGACAGGCCTCTCCATAAATAAACATTAGTGGCAACTTCATTGATCCAAGGTGATAACGATTCAGTCTCAGGTGTTATAAAGATACTGGAAACACTGCATGGTGGCTTTTGATTTGAGAAAGTCAGGGCACTTTTTAAAAAATTTACTGTATCTCTCGAAAACAACAGAGCACTTTCTAGTTGACTCAGTGTATGAGCAACGACACCAGCACTAGAGGCACTACGAAATAGAGTGTCAATTTCATGAAGAGTAATGCTTTGATCTCTCAGTTTTGCCACAATAAGAGTACAAGATTCAAAAGCAGCTTCCACAGCTACAGCAATTTGAGGCCATGTGTCTGTGTTGTTTAGGCATTTAACTTGATCTTTGCACTGCTGATGAAAAATGTCATTCTTATATTTTTCAGAAGTCATTACAGCACATGGTATTAACAATGGCTTAACAGGATCAGCAGCTTCCAAAAAAGGATACTTCCACAATTTTTCCCCATCTTCAACACACAACTCATTAATATGCATGTCATCAATTATAGCAGGTGATATTTTGCATACTATTATAAAATAAGAATGGCAATCTAAATACAGCAGATTAAACTGTACCTTTCAACTCTTTGTTTAACTCTTTATCTAGATAACTGATAAAGTTCACAAGAAGTGCTTGGTGAAACTGAAACAGTATTATTCGGTTATTGGCTGAATCCATTGCTTTTTTAAAAGCACAAACATCCAGTTTTAATGATGTCAGTATTGGATACAAGTGATCATGCCATTTTCTTTCTACTTTATTAAAG